GGCTGCAGAATGAGATCCGGTCATCGAGACGGCTATTGTCGCGTTCGGTTCATTTCGATCTCAGCGAACGAAATTGTTGGCGGTGGCTTAGTTTTGAGGAACATTCAGCGGCGAGCATGAAAAGCGTACGACGAACTAGCCGTTACACGGCGTTGCGGTTTGATCGTAATTCCACTTACCTGGTAAGCCAGAAGATGGCCGGTTTCGTCGAAGATCGTCGCAGATTGAAACAACGATCGACCGTGCCCGAGGCTGTTGGCTCATGCTCGAATAACCGGCCGTCCGCGGTGTAACGTTCATCGAACGAACGGAAAATTAATTTGCTATCCGACTGTAATTCCGACACGGCCTCTCGTGTAATATCGATCAATCGCCGTGTCGATGACGATTTATGACACGAGTTGTTTCCCGTTTACTCGGGCACCGACGCGACGGCTCGTGGTTTGCACGGATTCGCTTGAATATCCATTCATTAACCCTCGACTCGCTTCTGCTACATCGACCGGGCCAGAGGGAGAAGGGATCGTTTTATCGATGCCACCCTTCAGCATCCCCCACGAATTTCACGCTTTAAAAGTCACCGTAATTTTCGCTGTTTGCACTCGAACTTTCAGCCGGAGCAATACCTTTTTTCTGCGCGACCTATCGCGTCGTGTGAATTTATTTAGCAACTGGTATCGACGAGATCGGCAGTTGATTTTTAGTACTATCGGGTCTGATCAAAAACTAATGAGAATGCTTTTTATTATTATAATTCAAATCGATAGCATTGATTGAAAATAAGTTAACTATTAGAGAGTATCAAAACAGGGGATGAACAATGTATTTAACAAGTTCCACCAATCAGCTTGTAATTAATCACGCAACGGAGAAAGGGTTAAATGGTAGTTAAACACTCGTTGCTCCATTCCAAATGCATTCAATTATCGAGCGTTAATCGCGAACTCGATCATGTATACCGGTCTGTTAATTAGCGCACGCTGAAGAGGAGATGTTCTACGTTAAACTAACAGCACCGCTAACTATTGAAGGTTAACGAGAATGACAGAAGAAAGATGATACAATAGGTACAAAGGGGTTCATTTCGACGAGTAAGTGTCGATTGTAAGACAACCAATTATTGAAATGGTTGTCCATCCTCTCGGAGAGGATTGAACTTGGTGGGCGTCGAAAGGGCTTTGAACGCACCTGATGCTGTACTGGATCTTTAATCAGCCACCGGCAATTCTGTGATGTAATCACAGGAGGCTACGCGTAACGTGAGATGCAAATTAGCCGACATTTATCGACTCGCTGATTATTTAGCTTCTACAGGAAATTGATCCTCCTCCGGTAGCCATTTTCAAAGTATCAAGATGGATAACATTATCAACTGTATAGGATATTATTTAGAAGTCCTAAGATATTTATTATAATTCATAGGAACTTTGCAATTTTATATAGATCATGAAGTTTAAATGATTTTTATTTGAGTTAAATTAATTTGGAATGTAAATTTAATATTTAATAAAATAGTCTATTTATATGAAATCTATTGACTTTTATTGAAGGCAGTTACCTTCCTATAATTAGCAATTACTTAATTGTTTGAAATTTGTAAAATATGCAAAATGGAAAAATTAAGATGATGCCAATAGATATTTGTCTAAATATTTATCACGTATTTATCTTATCCTTTTAAAGTATTCTTACAAATATTTTGCAAATCCAAAATTCTTTCTATGACTCTTTACGTCTATCTAATTGTAATTCCTGAATTATAGTCTTGTAAATGAGAAGCGTTGAAAGTAAAGAAATTTTACTACATCAGTGAACAATCACAATCCATCAGATCTAAAGAATTCTTTTTCGTTTGTTTCTCCCTTGCGGATCTTTTTTTCTCAACTTGGAATAATCTAACGCTAATGGATTTTTCGCATTAAGGTGGAATAGGTAATATACAATTCTAAGTCGTAGCATTGTGCTGCGAACGAGATCAGAATAAAAGGACGAACTGAAACGGGAGAAGAGAAAAGGGCGAAAACGTTCCACTTAAAGAGGGGGATTATTTTTTAACGAAGCGAAAGTGTGCCATTACGGAGACCTCTATAGACTTCATTTCTGATTACCCTTTAATAATTCAAACGGAGGACAGTTTTTATTTCGTGCTTATTAGTGAGGCTGGGGACATAAATAATTTGTCAATTAAAATTGTCATATTGTACATTCGGTCATTTTTCTTGACATACGATCCGATAAAAATGAATTTTGGTAACATTTATCATTTTCGTAATCACTAACAGCGTTGAATTTATTTTTGTAAATCGTCTTTGAGGAGATTAAATATTATTGCAAAAATACTACATCGTGTAAAAAGGATAAATAGAAACTTTACAAACGTCATTGGTATTCGGCAATGATCTTTCAGAGGTAACAGGACCGATGCAATCCTTACGGAATGAAATAAATTTATCTCTACCTTTCGATAAACTGTGTTAACTTTACAAGTATGTACTTATACTTTACTAACGACAAGTAGCAATTTCAAGGAATATCATTTCTCTTTCAAGATCAAAGGAATCGAAATGACTTCCACTGAGCTAAAGCATCAATATTTCTCTACTTTTCAATAAACTATTACCCTTTAAACTTTGCACTTATACTTTATAAATATCTTGCATTTACGATAACGAGGTGGAGTATCTGGTAACAGCGTTCATGAAAAATTTATCTTCCCCATATTTCTTTTTCCTTTCTGATATATAAGAGAAAGAAAATACTAATAGTAATAATGATTTGCTATAATATTTAAAAATGACTACGCATCGTGAATAATTAAATAAATAAGTAAATAATTAAATAAATTTAGAGAATGATAATTTTTAAAATCCTTATTTTGAAGATAATGGTATTGAAATTAATTTCGAAGGAATTGATGTTATTTTCATTACTAAATATTATGTAGCTGAAAAACATGAAATAAATTTTTACGAATTTTCTATGACATAGGAGTTTTGTCTTCGGAAGAATTTATGAGAATTCACCTTTATCTGGCTATATCGTATCAAACGTTCGTTTCATTGAAATGAAAACATATCTCATGGCAAAAGATCGCATTCTCCAGTTTTCTTTGTGAGAATTTCAGTCTTCGAAGAATGTATAGAAAGCAGGAATGAACGAAAATACGTTTGGGAAAGTTTCAACGTTATGGCGAAAGTAATGGATTGAAAGATTGAATGAAGGAAATATTTCGTAGTGGAAAAAAGACATGTAGACGTTTTCAGAAAAATAAAATTTATAAATATATTGGATATAAAACCAACCGAAGGACTTCAAGTTATGTAAATGCATTTTTTCTATAGTCAAATTAATATTTTCAACTTGGATCAATAAAATTACACTTCAATAGCTGTTTAAATCGTAAACTCGATATCGTGTGATAGAGAAGTTGGAGCAATTTTAGTAAAAACATATTTTCTCGAAGAGAAACGTAACAGAAATTACGTTTTAGCTCACAAAGCAGAGTTTCTCGTGGCGAAGTTTATTATGGAAGTTCGATAGGGGAATGTGCTTGAGTTTCCGTAACATAGGGGAATTACCATGCGGTTTCAGGCCGAATTATTTCGGGAAAACGACAGTTGAAATTGCTAACATTCCCAACTTCCAACTTATTGTTTCTTTACGATATTTTCTTCACAGAATTATCGTAACACTCTAAATAATCTACGAGTCTAATTAAACCCATTCGTCCCTCATAACCTTTGAACGGCGGACCATGAAGAGAGCCCCAATTTTCATTTTATTTTAATCCACCACCTTTTAACCCTTTTGTCTCTCTTAACCCTCGGACAGCGTACCATGAAGAGAGCCCCAATTTTCATTTTACTTTATACCTCATATTATTTTCATGTTTTTATACATTATATATTTAACTTTAGATTAATATTTTTGTAAATGTTTAGTAACATTAGGTTAAAATAAGGGTGTGTGCAAAAATAGGAAAAAATTTTCAGTGTAAAAATCGATACTTTTATCGCTATTCTACAAATTGAGTATGCCATCTTATAACGCCATGAAGCTCGACAGATTTGACGTCTTAAGATGGCTTCCGCCAATTAGCAGACTTTAAGAAAAATAGGTTCATTTCATTTTTATATTTTCTTTTTCCACGAATATAAGCAGTACAAGTTTAATATCAACGAGCAGTATTTTCCTAACTCTGCTTTTCAAGCTTGAAGCCTCTCACCATAAAGTGCAGTGCACCCTGATTCCTTGTACACCCACAGTGCTCTGTGTTTCTGGCATTCTCCTGTTCGGCAAAAGCGAGGCTCAGACTAGCGCTCGAGTACTATACTTCAGCTTGTTGTAATGCGATTATTTTACGGTGACTTTTCGTGCCACGTTTCCCGGTTCACAGCCTCGAGTATCCCTGTGCCCTTGATACTTTCGACTCCCTTTCATCGAATTACCCTCGTCCCAACCCTCCGGGCTACCTATCCCACGGTACCTCGAATAAAAACCTTCACCCTTTTATTAAACCCTTGACATCCTTCGCGCTGGACCAAATTTCCTTTACAGCTTTTGTCATCAAACCCTTGCGATTTCAGTTTCTTAACAGAGGAATGCAATAATTGAATTTCTTTCGTTCCAACGTTCAAAGCGACGCTACGGTTTGATTAACAGTGCCATAATCGTCTGTTCAATTTCGATATCGTTGCGGGAAAACAGAATCACACAACGCGATAGGCGAGTTAAAAAAAAAAAAAAAAATGAAGAAGAATAGGAACAAATGCTCCACCATCGTTTTGTTTCGATCACAAGCGACCGTGCGCGCCGCGGCCAGTTCTGTTTGTCGGAACAAAACAAGAAAACAATTTCGGTGGGTCTTTCAACGGGACACTTTCGTGCATTTGCATCCGACCGCGGCTCGGTCGGGAATGGAACACGTTAGAGGTAGCGAAAAGTCATGCTTAAAACGACCAGGGTGTCATTCGTGCACGAGTATTGATTCTTGTACTGACCTTGTTAGGCGGCGCTTGAATCCCATGGAACGGCAGGTTCTCGTAAAACGTCTTCGCCCCGGACTCGGGAAGACCTTCCGACACGCTGTTCACGTGATTGTTATTCGCAGCTTGATTGGGATCTGTAAGCGTAAATGAAACATGACTTTGCGTAATTGAACTAAGGTGACAGAGGAGGTATATAGGTGTACGCGTTATCCTGTCCATTTTGGATAAAGATACTGTAGAGCAGGGTTTCCCAAACTTTTTCTGCAATGGAACACTTGGCAAACCCTGAAATTTTAACGGAACACTTAGCTTATTTTTTAAGTTGGATAATTCCTACTAGTGAAAATTCAAAAAAAAAAATGTTATTAAAACGCATTATTTATTTAGTAATCATTTTTAAATATAAAACTAATATAATAATAAATATAAAAATGAAGTAGATCTTTAAATGTGTTGCAGTGTATTAAATCTTTTCAAACTGTCGTGGAACACCTATTCAGTTTGGGAAACCCTGCTGTAGAGGATCGGCTCGTATAACAGAGGAGGGTTGCATCGAGTGCGCAAGAGATAGACAGACAGATACACAGAATTGAATTGTAAATATTCAGGTGTAATTGCAAATGCTAGAATAAGTGAGTGGCTATGTCTAGATCTAAGATAACTAACACACGTAATTGAACGGATACACGTGAGAATATTCAGTATTCGGGACCTTGATTGGATACCTAACTTCTATTGTCACGAGGAAGTTGAAGTGTAAATTTTATAGATGTATTTGTTTTTCAAAGTTGGGAGATTGAATATAAAGTAAAGTATGATTTGGGAATTTTGTGTGGTTTCATTTGAACTGTATGCTTCTTGCTTCTTGTATTACCGTTTTATTAGGCTGTTGTGTATTAATGATGGAAAATCTGATAAGATTTGATGACATACAAGCATTGCAAAATGGTATTTATGTTACTTTTATGTCATCAAATCATCTCAAATATTCCATCATCCTAATAATAGCAACAGTGAAACATCCAATTTGAATGAAAAGTTTGTTAAGTATTTGTGTTGTTAAGTATTATCATTAAAAAGTTAATTACTTCCCCAAACTATATTTTTTAATGTAAATAAATAACTGTTCAGACTTTAGAATGTAATATCATTAATTTCTAACATTATTAGGAATTCAGTAATTTAAAAAACATCTTTCACAAAGAGTCTCGGTTTAATTTTACAATTAATTTATAATTCTACTAATCAAAATCAAAGGAACTTACTTGCTGAGTGTATTGCAAATGCAATATTTATGTACACACGATGCGTGTTATTTGCATGCGAATATTTGCACATACAGGATTCATAACGAACCAACAACGAAATTAAACTGTTCTGATTTCTGTGTAAATATTTGATTTCCCAACTTAATTTTTTGTAATAAAAATAGCATGTTTTCTTTTGTAATCTTCCATTTCTTTTCAAAATTTGTATCCATATTAAATACATATCTTTTAAAATAATTTATTATGTAAAAATTAAAAATATCATTTCTATTAAAGTTATGATTTTTAAATTGATTGGTTTTTACATTTATTAACAAGAAATTATGTCCTATCTTCATTCCCAAAATACTCTCTATACTTTTTACATTGTGCAATAATTTTCCATTTAAATGCATTAATCATCTTTATCGTTTCATGAATTTTTCAACCTCCAATCGTTTTCAATTCATACCCCGTATATGCAAATACCTTGCGCCGAAAAAGAATAGAATGACGTTTATTCAGAAATCGATGCTAAACGATAAAAATAATTGTCTTGTGGTTATCATTGAAGATTAACGCGAAAATCATGCTCCTGTTGCAATTTCTTATTACGTACCTGCGCCTGGTTTTTTTCGCTTACGGGAGATGTTGCCTCGATTCAAATCACACGACGATTCTGCATGCAGTATTCGTTGCCTTGGCGTTATTCTTTTGTAAGTCACAGCTAAGGGAACAGAAACAACGAAAAAAAAAAGAAGCAACGACATGGAACGCGTAAAGCATATCTTTCATGCAGCTCGTTGCTGGATGCAACAAACACATTCATATATTTATTGCTGGCAAAATTGTATTATAGCTGAGGGAGCATGTTTCTTACTTTTTGGTACTTCGTACAGGATTCTATTTCTCAAATTTTATCGTGCACTTTGTTTCTAGCTACCGAACGTAATTCTTTGTAGCTGTTAAAGGGAAGTATGTTAGATCATTTCCAAAAGTTCGTGCTACTTTGCATCATATAGCAAATATTGCTACATAAAAATATTATTACATGATAATATTATTACATAGAAATATTACTATACATGAATATTACTACCTTGGTATATTAGGTTTACCGGAAAGTTCTGTCCGATAATGTAATTTCAAGTTTCCAAAGATAAATCATTCTACAGAAATGGAATCCACAAATTATCATCACGCTGGGAGGAGGTCATTAGTAACGATGGAAATTATATTGTTCAGTAAATATTATTAAATGTAATTTTCTTTTAATTCAAAAATGAACAAAACTTTCTGGTAAATCTAATAAAAAAAGATACGAATTTGTGGAAACATCTAATAAAAAAAATTTGAATTATGAATAAATGTTACATTTTAAAATGAGAATATTCGAGGAATACGAGAAGTACAGAGAATGGCTTGGTAAAAGACCAAGCTTCGAAATTACACAAGAATTTTTTTGCACGTTAACAGCGGCTTAATTAAGCAAATGCAAAGTTATCACTGAAATTTTTAATCCTTTTGAATGGTACGTGCACATTACTTTCGTGATGACTATGTATGATGAACGCACTGATACGAACAACATTAAACGGACTTAGTAATTACACGCAAAAAAAACACTTTTAATTATCTTTTTACCATGCCGTAATGCTTCTTCTTTAAAATTAGATTAACGTGACTTTTTTTAACATTAATGCACTTCTTCAATGTTTTACAAGAAGATTAAATAACTGATAAACGAATTTACTGTAAGATAAGTTAAAAATAAAATTTTCTTAAAATTTCACTGAATTATTTATAAAATGTTTAAGAAACACTGAAAATACAAAATTAAAAGGGAAGCATTACGGCTAATTTAAAGAAAATCCACTAAAAGAAATTAACTGGACAATTTTAATGTTGGCGAAGTAATAAACGATACACGATTTTTCATTCGAACGAGCATCGAATCTGTTTAATATATTCGGGTTTATCAAATATTCGGTGCACTTGAATTAGCTTTGTGTAATTACAATCAGCTCGTATCCTTAATTAATTAAAAAAGAGTATCACTTATGTCACCCATAGCAACGAAGGGGTTGAAAGTGCACTGACCTTATGTTTTACGATTAAACGAACCTTTCCTCATAGGAAAATGAAACCAGCGTACGGTTCACCGAATAAGTAAAACCGAACGAAAGAACCTGGGCGGTCGTCAAAGTTCCAAGTATGCCAACATTAAAAAGGTACAGTTTTTCTCAACGTGGACGAACCTTCTCGTAGACTCACCTGTCTTTTCTCGAGAGATACCGGGCAAAGTAGCCTGCTCTTTAAGTTGCACTCCAAACATGGCCTTAATTTTATTAGCTCTGGCAAGCATACCCTCGTCATGCAGACTGGACACTGTTAAACTCCTCTGCGAGTTTTCCTTCCTCCTGCGGAACACTTTGCCAGGCACTTTGGTGATCGTGGCCTCCATTAGGAAGCGATCGGCCATCGGCTCGTCGTTTTGCCGGGCCATCAGTTCGTTTCGCAGCGTCTCGTTAGTACGAACACTCAGACCTGATCGTAGACTGTGGCTTCTATTGATGTGCACCAGCACGCCTGGCTTTAGGGGCCATCTGGGTGCAGGCGTTGGGTGCACCGTGGTCTGAGTCGAATGAGAGGACACCGTAGGACTTGGGGGTCCACCGTCTGGACTGTTCAACGATTACGTTTCATACCGACCTCCTTTGCTCCTAATAGTCATTGACGCAACTAGGATTTTTCTAGGGAAGACTAGGTACTCTAATTTTATTAGAAGTAGCAGGTATCTAGATTTGTTTGACGATTAGATCAGTGTGGAAAGGTGTATCCACTTGATGAAAATTATCACGTGAGGAGAATTTGTACAATTAAAACGATACCTTTACTATTGCATACTTAATTTTCACCGAAATATTCATTTAATATGAGATAAAATTTTACCAACTCAGGAATATTTATTTTTACTTATTTTAGTGTGCTGGGTGTCAGTTCATATCCTAGGATCTAGACCTAATCTGACCCCTACCTAGTTACGCCAATGCATATCATTCTCTCTGTACACTTTTACAATGCTGTGTCCTAAGAATTGATGGGAAAAGGATCAAGATTTCATCCTTTCAAAATGATCTATCTTACGCATGTGGTCAGTGGAGCTTACTCAGATAGTAGGTTTGAACTGCGCTTTGGTTCTGAAAGGAATCCCTGTTGTGGGACTTCAGTTTTAACCCTTTTAGTATGGATGCTATTGATTGTATGGATTTATTCAGTAGAAGTTATGCGAAAATACTTTATTTCTAGATGATCAAAATTAGAAAAAAAGGAATGTTATATATTTCCAAACTTTTGCAATTGCAATCTACAAATTTTTCATATTTATCTTTATTTTTTTCTGCTGCTCCACTGATCAGATATTTCGTTTATCAGATAGATACTCTCGCGATCAAATTTTATAATAGATTTTATATCTTAATGATACAAAATTATATTATTTTCTTTCTAAATTGCTTTTAATATTAATATTGTCAAAATTAAGATTTTTGAGAATCCTCCTATTTCGCCATTTTTCCTAGAGAAGCCCGATTTGATCAGGACTATACTCGAATAAAGGAATAGGGACAAATGTGGTCACAGCACTTGTAAAAGCTTACTTTTTGCGATAACAATGAAAGAAAGAATCCTTTTGATTATTTTCGTTCTGCTTTGCACAAAGTCATTTAGAGAATGTTACGCGTCGCTTGCACACGATTCTTTGAGAACTTTTTAATTAAACTTTATCCGATCCCTCGCTCCGTTTCAAGTATTTTCTAAATATCTTTTTCGTTTCCATTGTATCCGACTTCGGAGACTATCTCGCTGCAGAGAAACAATCTTTAAGAGATTCTACAACGAAAATCGTTTTCCATCAATCAACTAAATGTATTTTTACTAGTAAAGTAAAAAATAAATGACATATGACAAATTATGGTTGATAGAAAAAAATTGAATTTTATTTAATATTGAATCAAAGGATTATCGATGATGTTTTTCTAAAAAAGAATTAAACCGGGAATACAGTTACGATATCATGATGTTTTGATAATAAAATTTATCTTTTTTCTACCCGTGGTGTATGACGAATTGCATATTCATGGGATGCGTGAACGGTGGCAATTCATCAAACGCGTTGTACTACGAAATGACAGTTTATTCGGACCATTTTAATTTATCACTGTTTTCGATCGTGAGTTATAGCACATATGATTTCAATCTGACGGTATGTACGCATTTACCAAGGGACAAAGAACAACATTGTTGTACAAGAGGGAGGGGCACTTAATTAAAAACCGAAAACAAGGCGGTGGCATGGCGTGCCGTTAATTCATTTTTTTACCATTAACGTCATTTGTGCAGTTTAATTAATTAAACTTCAAACCGATAAAGCTAGAGACTATAAAATAGATATACTAAAATTATTGCAAAAAATAAATAACTAATTTAAAGGGTTAAGCGTGCCGAAACTTGTATGTGGTCCTGTAGCTAATTAAGACTTATATAAAATTGGTAATTTTCTATGATTTGGTCATCTCCGATTTTTTTCAAACTTCAATACGTTCAAATGTCTCATTTAAACAAGTAGAATGTAACTAAAGAAAATGTTGCAAACAAATCTAACAATGAAACTAAAGATTGAAGGCTATATTTAAAATTGTAAAAAATCGTGTGCATCACTTTCGCTTGGATATGCCCTGAAATTCAGGCAGTTCGGTTAGATTGCTAGTTTCATTTTGCAAAAACAAAAAAGGAATTCTTTTTCGACCCCAGCTCGACCGTTATATTTTTCGCGGAAATATCAAAACTGACCCGGCGGTCGATGTTTAAAAAAACGCGTTAAATATTCACCGGGCGTTGAAAAGCGTACAAGCGAAGCGAAAAATTCGCCGCCAAAAGGATTCTTCGTTTCAGGTCACGATTTGAACGACAGCCAACTCAATAAGAGGGCTTTCTACTCATCGAGCATGCAACCCTTCACCTACCTTTCACCTCCGAAAGTGTCTCCTATGTAGAAATAGTAGCAACGCCGGTATGACGCCAGAGATAGCCTAGCCAGTTATAACTAATCGTCCTTAAATTATGCAACAACAGCACACACAGTGCTACATTCGAATAACAAAGAACTCCCGACACCCTATTCATTAGCACGTGCGACCCTTACCTGCCTTACCTCTATCCACGCTTCGACAGTAAACTATTATAAGCCGGAAGTGGTCACTAAATTATGCAACAGGACATGCATTCAACCGTGGAGGAAAATATAGAGAGGAGGGGGTGGAGGTGTTTCCTATGAGATTGGAGAATCAGAGACGATCTTTCCTGAACAATGTACAGGGTGGAAAATTGGTAACCAAACTTTGGTGGTACACAGTATTTCTCTTATATACGGAAATACGTCTTTTTTGAGATATAAATATTTTTTTGTTGCAATGAAATATTATTTATACATACAACAGAGAAGCTCGTGATGTGCATATCCCATTGTTCCATAAAGCAAAATACATTTTCTTTCTACGTTTCACACTGAAGCTCAACCAGGTCCTCGTAATATAGCAAGCATACCGAAGCTGACAACGAGCATCAAGCAGACAGAAATTAGAATAATTTTGGAAATAAAAGGACTAATGCAGCGTAAGGTGCGAGCAAATTAACGATCGCAACAGTAACAACAAAAGTGAAGAAACAAAAGGAGAAGATTCAAATGTGTTGCATTTCTGTACTTACTGTTCGCGTTCCTCCAGCTCGACCACCCGATTACTGTCTGTGTTTTGTTTAGCAAGTCCAAATTAAAAAAGTAGAGCAGAAACGAATCAGTTTTTCTGTGTTAGTGATACACTACCGAAAACGAGACACGTGCTGTACCAATCGAGAGGACCTGTGCTCGAAACTGTGTCGTTTTATACCTTTAATTAGAGATTGTTCTTTTCCAGCTAACCAAAGTTCACGACATTCTACGAATTTAATTAACGTTGACTAACTTCTTCGAGGAGATCGCTCGGTACAACTTCACCGAGGAATGTTACGTAAGTCGCGATGTACTTTACGAACAATCGTTTCTCTTCTGCGTGGAAATGGGTGAAAGGACGGTTTCATTTGAATAACTTGCGCCGAGTTTCTTCTTTTTGTCACAAGTTAAACATTTCGGTGCGCCCAAAAATATTTATGATTTATGTCAAATTGATAAAAATTATAATTTTATGACGTTTGTGATCTAAAGATTCTTTTTATCTGAGGATTCTGGGTGAGGATATTTTGATTTATGTGAAATTATTAATAATGCTACCTTGAATTTTATAATTTTATATCTGAGGGGTATTTTTTGGGGGAGGCTTCTCTGTGAGGATTATTACAGCAATGAGCATGGTAGACTTTTCCAGGAAAAATGATGATAAATATTACTACATATTATAAATGTGGAACTACAAAAATCTCCTCAAAGTGATTGAAAAGAAAATTGTATTTTCATGTCCTCTCGGCGCAGCGGCACAGCACAAGCTCGTATATTCAATAATTTGTATACATTGTATGTACTTGTTTTTGCAACCAAATGGGAAATGCGCATTGTCCATCTACCTTGTACGATTACGTAACATAACTGACATGCTTCGTTTTCCGTAACTCTAGCATGAACTATGCGATAATAACAACGCAAAATAATGTATGCAAGTGCATGATTTATGCAAGTCTGGCTGCAGTCATTGGATGAAACATTCAGGAACAATTACATTTTTAATAACACCAATTGAAAATTGAACAATTCATTAATATTCATTCTAATATTCAACAAGTATCGAAACTGCTAAATGTTTAATTGAATTTTTTAATACTTATTACACAGAATATATTATGTATAATACTTTTATTATATGTTAAACTTTTGATTTAATGCTTTTAATATTAGAGATATGCAAAAATTTGTATTAGGCTGTATCTATATTTTTGATCTGGTAATGAAAGCGAAAATTGCAAATTTTATTTTAGTAAAATAACAAACCAGCTGTGAAAATTATAATATTCTCATAATCCAATGTCTGCAACCAGTTCGAATGGCAGTCAACGTAACTTTATACACGGATAACGTTTCGATGTTTCGTGGTTACTCTTGTCTCACCAATTAATTAAAAAACTTTATCAACAAACTTCTGTATCCCTACGCGACAATGCTACTTCAACGGGTCTCGATGAATATACAAAACAGGAAGCTGATCCGTACTTGAAGATCGCTTTTCAATTCTCAACCAGCTTACGTTTCTTATCAACTGGATCAAGCAACATGCAACGTACGAGAAATCCAGCTGCCGCTTCACAGAATTTACCGTCACGAAGTTTTAAAATACTGAGCAGTGAAAGCTCGTTGGAAAACGTCACGGTGTAATTATTAACCCTTTCATTACAACAAATTTGAATAAAAAAGATTACTTTGGCTCATCATGCTTAAGTTTTTCTGCTACTTTGAAAAAGGGTTATAATTTCCAAAAATTATTGTTTTTGGAGTTTTCCATAATTTTGGGCCTAATAACTATCTAGGTAAATACTAGACACCTTTTTACCACTAGTATCCTAATTCAGTGATTATTTTATAACGAATGATTATACTCACCCTTAGTAATGAAAGGGTTAATATTACGAATGTACAGTACCGAGCAAGTAGGCTTCTCCAGGGAAAGTGGCGGCGCCCCCTCCCCAGACTTTCACCTCTCCCTACGGTGGCTCCACGGAGAATGACGGTGTACGGGAGAAGGTCTCGTATATAGATCTGTGTCCCCCCCACCACTTGCGTACGATCATTTGGCAGAAGAATTTGAATTGATATTTATGTTAATATTCAAATTTCTTAATTATATGCTAAATATTATGACATTTAACAATGAAAAATTATGTTATTTTGTTTCTAAATCACTTTTAATATTAATATCATTGAAATTAAGATTTTAAAAATTTCTTCTTCTCCTATAATGCCACTTTCCTTAGGAAATTGTACTTTGCTCGATACTGTATGTTTCTGTCATACCACGATATGTCAATTATTGTGAATCGAATTCCTTTTTTTAAATTTGTCAGTGGAAATTATCAAGACTAATATAAGTGAATGAAAGTCAACGAACCGAGATCTTGTCGCTTGAAAGGGAACATGTGGTCAGCTGTGCACAGGAATGTTGCCACGTTGAAATAATTGTTATTAATTTTTATCACTTTTCTAGCTCGATAAAAACTGCTCCGGTGATCTGTGATATGTAACTCTTGTGAGATGGTGTGACAATAAATATGCATTATGAAATTGATATTTTTTCTGATTTTAAAATTGTTCAGATAATGCATATTTATTTTAGATTGATATGTATAACTTAAACAATGTTGGAGTACCATGTTCAGAATGTGTGAATCGTTTATGTACGGTTAATGATTCTGTGATCTTGATTAGAATTTCTTCAAGATTTCAATTATAAAATTAAATAATAGTAAATTAGGTAAAATTTTACAATTAGAACTGTGCTCAACACATTTTTCAATTTTTTCTTTTTTTTTTGTATCATCTTGAAGAAAGTCCTTGACGATGATCTACGTCATGCGAATTGTTTTGAGCAACAAATCACAGTGACAATAAATAATATAAAATAAATTGTAACTTACATTTCATCTGGTTTCGTTTGCGTCGACAAACGATGAAGATCGCCACGCAGATAAGAATTATCACAAGTATCATAACAACAGCAGCAACGATGACAATTAGAAGAAGATATCCTTCCAATTGGTACCACCACGGTATATGGCCTGCAACATATATTAATTATATGTTAATTTGAGATAATAATTTTGAAAAATTAAAACTATTTTAAATAAATAATTCTGCACCACTGAAAGTTCACCAATTTTAATTACAACCCATAATGGCATTCAATGTAACAATATTGTAAATTTTAGAAATTTAATCGTCATAAAACTTTCAGTATAAAATATAAAATATTTTATTCAAACGTTCATCCCTGAACTTGAATAACAAAGTTGATTGCAATTTGCAACTCATTGAAAATTTCTACGTAACACAACAAAGGATTTAGACTGATTGTAGAAATTTCACGGTACACCCTGGTTTGTTGGTAAGGGAATAAAGTAATCGGTAGAGCAGCTGCAATTCAAATGTCGGCGACAGCTGCGTAATATTATAAATACTGAAGTAAGACGACCGATTTTAAGCGAGGATTTTCATTTAAATTCAATCTGCTGCTGCGCTGTGTGACATTTTATTACGCAGAATTTTTATTACGTAATTTTGTGTAGGTTAAATATTCCTGAAATCAAGCAACTATTTCGTTTTTATGAAAAAACGACTAATAAGTCAGTATTAACTTATTCAGATTTTTTAATAAAAATTTTTCTAATTCAATTTATCTGCTTTAATAACAAAGTAAATAATCTCAGCAATTATTCATATTTAACCGTCTATTTCAATTTAATAGTTTCAGTTGAAATGCAAGATAATATAATTATAGAGGAACTTACTTCGATGTCCATGGTGAGCTAAGAAGAAATAAATAATTTAAACCATCGCTTTAACTGTTAAATGAAATATTTCTCTAACTATTTAAAATATGAATATATTTTCAAATGCAGGTATCAAAATAAATAATTATAAAAATATTTATTTCCTGTTGCGAAATAATTGATTCTTCAACGATTCAAATATTGCATTTTCTGCTATAATGCGATCTCCCCAGGTATCTCCTCGATACGTTAAATAACGAGACTCAACGAAGCAATTTCTATGAAAATTTTAATAATGTTTATAGTAGATTTATATAATCGCACGGATATACGTATTCTCTGGGGGACAGTTGCATTTTCCGGGAAAGAAATGATAACACTCAAGAAACAGGAGGATGAACGTCCCACCGGAGAGACTTTGAATTATTTTGTCTAGGTAATTTGGACACTCTGACCTATTTCCACTGATAAGAATTATCAACCAGAGGTATCTTATTTTCCTGAAGCTAATTCTTCAAAGGTAATTAATAATTTCATTCGTGAAAAAAGTTAACTAACAGAGATATTGTTGTGCAATCAAGAATTTGTACAACAATCTCTTCCTTTTATTGTATTTTTCAGTGTGTTCTTTTATAACAAAATAAAAGAAGAAAAAGAAAAATTGTATACAATTTTTCTTTTTTTAATTTCTTTCAGTAATATTCAGTTTATAGTGAAATTATGAAACAACAAGGGACACAGTGACGTCGTTATAAAATTGTTCGCTAAGCTTTTCGCTCAAAGTGTTTATAGCCATCGAACTGATTCAATTCGAAGCGAACAATAAGAGTAATCGAATTTAAAGTCGATTTTAGTTGAAACAGCTTTAAATTACAGTAGAACATGTAAATGACTTTGTATCACGGAAAATACTCATTTAGATTTAACTTTACTCTCACTAAGCTTTGTGTTTGTTACTAAAGTCGTTTAAAATTCATGTCCCCACGTATCTACATAAACCTTAAAAAAAATATAACTTTTTCATCTTTATTCTTGTCTTATTTTACATTTACATATTATCTATATATTATTAATAAACAAAAGATAATTAAAAATTTTTATTAAAAATGATACCTGATTGTTAGTTAAAAATTCGTTTCTGAATAAGATCAATAGGTTCAATAGGAAAATAATGATCCACACTAACAATTTTACATTTCAAATAAACGAGAAAATAGGTAGAAAATGTAAATCAACGATGAATCGGGTCGAAACTGAATTAATTTAACGCAGACTTTGATTGTTCAAGGAGAATCTAATTTATAAGCTTCGACAGGAATGTTCATATTGAATGCATTATATAACATGGAAAATTGCATTTTACCCTTAAGAATCTCTGATATTAAAAATTATTTTTACTTTCTCGCTAATTATTTACTGGAATTATTAATGTCCATCATAAAATTCTTTCAAATTATCTGATGTTTATTATCCGCTATTTCAGATTTTCCTCATTACACGTGAATTACAAAACCAGACAATAGAACGCACGAATTATAAGAGGAATGTGATACTACGAGAAGAAAACTAATCGCAGTGAAGGAATTCGTTTTACGTAAAAATTCACACCAATTTAAAGTAGAATCTCACTACAATAGAGTACAATTTTCCTATTAAAATTGCATGAAACACGTATTTCCAAAATCAGGGGTAAAATTGATTGAATTCCTTCTCCGTATTATTTTTAATATTAAGCTGTTAAATAAAATTTTCATTATTAATTTACGTACCTGGTACGTCTCGCTCACAAGGGTTCGATTGGCCAATAGTGTTGTTCGCAACACAAACGTACGTCCGGAAATTGGTTACCGATGTGTCGAGACGGATGTAGCTTTTTCCATTGCGAGGATCGGGAACTTGTTCCAACGTATCGTTGTCACTCTTCAAAGACCAAAAAAAATCGGTCTCCTTCGGGTTCGCTATCGCAGAGCATACCACGTAATCCACCCCGTCTATTCGTTCCTTTTCCACGCGACACTCCGGCTTAACTGTCCAAAGAAGAATATGGTTCGGTTTTTGTACAACCACCACCACATAATTCGTACAAATGTCACATAACTCTTAGATGCAGTGTTAAACATTGTACATTTATATTTTGTTCATTAATAATTTGATTATAAAGCGAAATTTACTGGAAATTTAAATCAAATTATAATATTTCTTTCTGTGAAAGTAATTCTATGGTGTTCGTTAACACTTTCAATTAACATGGCAAATTTATGGCATAATTTAAAACTTAAAGTTTAATGAAAATTTCCTAAAATTTCCCGTAATTTCTAATTACTTAAATTATCACTTTGTCTTTTAGAATTCTCAAGAACATGAAACTTTTTTTAATAATTGTATCTTCTCCTATATAATTGCAAACCTTTTCTACTTACATTGAACATTCATGATCATGGAGATATTTCTGCTTCCATGACGATTGGCTGCCTCGCAGTAGTATGTACCATTACTACGTCTTGGCACCTTTATCTTTAAATCGAGAACACGACCTTCGATGATGGTATCCGTTGAACCCTCCCGAAACCAGCGAAAAGTGGCTTCCGGATGTGCTTTCGCGTTACAGGTTACTGTTTCCGGTATCGTGTCCACGGTGACGTTTATTTTACTCTTTGAAATCGTCATATTTTCCGGAGGAACTTGACAGAGAGAGGTATTGTTAATTAACCGTGTTTGATTTGCCCGAATAATTAAATGTTAAATACACGATATCGCATGAGTATGTTTTTAACACTCACGTTATGGAGTGAATGAATTGGCGTAACTATGTGGGGATCAGGCATCTTTAAAAACGTGGATTGATCCACTTATCATTCTAAATTTTTAAGATTCCAGAATTTCCAGAATTTCAAAATTCCAATATGCCAGATTTTCAAAAACTTAAAATTCGAAAATTCCAAAGTTGAAAAATTTAGATATCTTTAAATTCCACAATTCCAAACTCTTAGATTTCCAAATTTCTAAGGGACCCAGCCCACCCCAGGAAAGATTCTCATTACTTCACTGAATGAACGGCAGCGAAAGGATTAACATGTGAATTTCAACTTTCCAGAATTTCAAAATTCCAATTTGCCAGATTTTCAAAAACTTGGAATTCGAAAATTCCAAAGTTGAAAAATTTAGATATCTTTAAATTCCACAATTCCAAACTCTTAGATTTCCAAATTTCTAAGGGACCCAGCCCACCCCAGAAAAGATTCTCATTACTTCACTGAATGAACGACAGCGAAAGGATTAACATGTGAATTTCAACTTTCCAGAATTTCAAAATTCCAATTTGCCAGATTTTCCAAAACTTAAAATTCGAAAATTCCAAAGTTGAAAAATTTAGATGTCTTTAAATTCCACAACTCCAAACTCTTAGATTTCAAAATTTCAGAATTTCTAAATTTCTAAGGGACCCAGCCCACCCCAGGAAAGATTCTCGTTACCCCACTAAATGAATTTGAAACGAAAGAAACTTACATTCAACGTGAAAATGAGTGCTGCTTTTTACTCCAGGCCCTATTCCATTGCTGCTGCTCTCGCACGTGAATTTCACGTTGTCTTCGACCCTATCCAATTGACCGGAGGGCCATGCGGTCAGGTTCCACACGAGGGTCGATTGGATGCTCTCGAAGTCGTTCGTTCGTGGATCGGGCAGATGATAAACGTTCGACAGATAGTATCGATTCGTTTTCGAGAAATCCATGAGTATGCCGTCCTTCAGCCAGGAAATATTGCAGATAGGCGCGCATTCGACCCAGCACATGATACTAACGTTCGGGGAATTGTACACGTAGCCGTGATAAGGGAGCAGTTTCTTGATAAACGCAGGGGCAGCTATTGACAATCAAACAACATGTTTAACCACGTTTCCAAACCGTGCCACTGGAACATGTTGGCTCATGAAAGGAGATAAGAGTGTCAGGATTCGCGAACCGATTTATAACAGGGTGAAAAATGAATAAATTTTCATATTCAAAATCCGTCAGATTTATAGGAAATCCAGTAAATATAATATATTGGCATATTTATTGTTAATTATATTTTAATAATTATGTTTGATGATTAAAGTATTACTATAAAAGGAATTTGTTGATATTTTAATGAGCAGTATAACATGTGCTCATAAATGCTAATATTGTAATACATTTAATTTAAACTTTAATTAGTACTTTCATTTAAAATTGATAATATTTGATACGACGATTCATTTTGTAGAAAACTCCTGAATTTTTTATTACCCAATTAATTTTCACGCAATAACGAATGCGTTGAATTAATCCATTAGCGAGTAACATTATTTAAATATTGCAATGAAATATTATAATATTATCAGTTTATATCTTTAATAGGAGATACGAGTACGATAAAGTTTCCATTATATCGCGGAGATATTATGCAAAATGCAGGAACAAATGTACATGCAGACCACGTTTCTCTATATGTATACGTATTAAATAAACGAATACAAAAAAAAAAAAGAAAAAAAAGGTAAAAGCAGATGCCCAGGATTTTCAAGATACGGATCGTTGATTTAGATACAGCAGCAGTTCTTTATATAGCATGAACCCGTATTTTTGTTTGTTAAATAAATATAATAACCAATCGTATATGCTCGTTTTATCCTGGTGCTGACATACTTTTTTAAATTCCAAATCCCATAGAAAAAGTATTGCGAGTTACTTTATTTTACAAAATATGCTTATTAGGGGTATATTTTCTACTGAATTTTATCTCTCCCCAGCCTTACTCAGGGTGCGAGCATCGATGACACCCATGGCACCCAACGCGTTAATAAGGGCCGAAATCTATACCAGCCCACTGAGAATTTTTCTGAACTCCTGATCGTTAATCTATCTTCTGCTACCGGCGCGATTTGTCAAATTAATCAAACACCAATGGAAAGTACAGATTGTCAAAGTTAATATCAATTCTTTATCAAAATTCCAGGATTTAATGCTTGTCAGAGCGTCAGCTGATCCGTACGAAATTAACGTCACCCGAAAAACGGACAACAGATTTATTCGACAGAGAATCGAAAAGTTTTTCGAACAACTTTACAACTCACCAGACACGTCGATAAACGTGGTGGCCGGGTCCCCGTCGCCGGCTTCGTTGTAAGCCAGACAAGTAAAGTTCGCTTCAGTTTCCAAATTAACCGATTCAATGGTAAGGGTAGCGTCGTTTTCATCCGGAAGTCTGGGAAGGCCTCGAAACCATTTGAAGCCAACTACCTTTGGCCGTCCTGGGTCCAGTACGAAGCACGTGATTGTCAATGGTCGCTTCTTTATTACCTGCTGGGGCTCGTACGAGATCGAAGCCGGTCCAGGCTTGTCTATTATTCGTAACAACAAGTAAATTTCTCCATTGAAATTCTAGTTTGAAAATTTTATTTTCTTGCGTTCAATTTTTAACACAGCTCACATATTCTTTCGTTTCAGTAGACATTGCTGTACCTAGGACGTTTTTATGGGCCAGGCTAGGTCCCTTAAATTTATTAACAGTGATTGTTGTTTCATATTTTGCATTTATCAAGATTTTTCGATAGAATCTTAAAAAATGTTGGAATTTTGAAAACTTGGAATCTTGAAAGTTTGGAATTTTAAAACAATAGAATATTAGGACATTAGAATATTAGAGTTCTACAATTTTAAAGCCTTAAAGTTTTAGTAAGTTATTGTTAGAATCCTAGATTAGCGAAGTCCACATTTGGGGGATGGGGCTAGTCCTATCTTGACACTTCCTTAGTTATGCCAAAGATAGCAGACAATTATTAAATCATTGTGAATCGAATTAATTCAAACCAGTAGCAGTTCAGAATTTGAATATATAAAAAGTGAAAATAAACTTACAATAGACTATGACAGGTGCACTGGCTGAAAGTGGTCCCCATCCAGCGTCGTTTCTACCCTCGCAAGAGTAATTCCCATGAAAGGAACGACCCACTGCCTCTAGGAGCAGTTTACTCGGATCGATATCGCAGAAAATTAAAGATTCCTCGGTGGTTGTGGTGGTCGCGGTGTTATTTCTCGTGCAATCCGGAAGTTCTTTCAGCAGGTCCCCGTCCAAGTACCATCGGACAGCGGTCAAGCTTGCTGGATTTCCGGAAACAACTTCGCAAGTCAAAGAGACATTCAAGCGGTCCGCCTCGTTCACCGGTGTTTCCGGATCCATTACCACTTCGACTACCGGTTTGTCTGTGTACAAAAATGAAGAGAAACTTGATAGTAATACGAAGGGCGGCCGTTGATTAGAGGAAGAGTGTACCCTTCCCTAATGACTTTTATGTCTTTTTATACCTTAATTAAAAAGGAAAGAGATAAAATCAAATATTTTTTTTACATGGAAATACTTTTCAGAATCAATTAATTTTTGACAGATGTATTACTCAATTATAGTTTTTTTTTTTTAATTTCAAAACAATTTGTTCCTAAGAAATATAAAATCGAAGAAAGGAATATGAAATTAAAATTAAATTAATAAAAGTTAACAGGAAATTTTCAAAAACATACCTATGGAAATGTGATTTTCAGTGTGGGTCATATAGACCCGAAGAGCAGGTTTAAGAAAAAATAATAAACATGGTTGCAGGTTAAAAGATTTTACTTTTACAGAAAATTGACACATTTAATCACGACAAATAATTAATTGTTCAATTTACTGGGTTCATCTGTTTCACATCAGAAGCAACGCTTCAACCAAATGGATGTAATCAGTCTAAAAAAAGAATGGACCATCAGATCCATCGAATAGACCATACCAAGAAACTTATTGCTCATGTTTCTTTTACGAGCAACGTGAAAGTTTATTTTATTCAAGATAAAGCACACACTTGTGTTGGGAGTGTAGAAAAGGAAGAATTCAGGAAGCTTGATCAAGCAGTTGAAAAAGAACTTTCGCATGAGGATCCAATCAGCGGATTGGATGGAACATTCCCCCCCCCCCCCCCCCCCCCCCCCCCCCAAAGGTAATTAAGATTTTAGCGAGTTGAAAATAAAAAAAAGAAAATCAGAAAAGAAGACCACGAAGTTTGTTCGAGAACAGAAAGGAAAAGAAAAAGGACGATTGGCGAAGGTGATTCATACATTCAAGTATAATATTAATAATAAAGAACAAAAATGGCGAACTGATTGTTCTATTTTTCTATCTCACTGAACCATAGGGGATTGACTCCCATCTTTTAAAAATTTTGAATTGAACAATTATTGTAGCTAGTAAGCTGAAAATAATTAATAAATCTTTTAATAGCGTGGATTCTCCGCAAAACGAGAATCGACGTCATCAGACACGAAAAGCAAGGATAATATCGCAAAAAGGAAAAAAAAGAACAGTTCCGTTTCGTTTCGCATTACAGCAATTTATCGCGTTTTATTCCGGTAAACGATATTTATGCGTCCATAAATTTTCGCGAGCACCGCTTTAAAACCAATGCCGGAACATACGTACCGCTTTCGTTTTTTTCATTACCGAACGTAATCCATCCACCATTCCCCATCATAAACTTTTTAACTTCGGTATTGATCACGAAACGCGAGTTAACCATCAACGTTTATCCGGTCATCGATCCTCGATTTGATTGATACACCGATTAACGTTAATTGGGAATCGCGTAACACGATTGTAGATATTACGTTTGTTAAGTAAATTATGCAAGGAATAATGTCGACACACTTACACAATACGTTGACTTCGACGACGTCCTCTGAAACGGATGGACCAACATTATTGTGTAGAATGCACCTGTAAGAGCCCATGTCGCTAAGTGTCGCATTTTTCACGGTAAGGGCTGTTTGTTCTGTGATTCCACCCTCGTAGTGGTCGTCGGTTACAACTAATTCTTTGTCGTCTCGGAACCTGCGAAAATACGATTAAAATTATCAGAAATTTTTTTATATTGCTCTCCTTTAATTCCAATTTTATATAAATAATATTAACAAATTAATTTTTGGTGAGTTTTACTCAGCATATTGCAAAGAAAATTTTATCACAATTAGAAATTTCAAAATAAAACCTATTCGATTATAAATGGAAAACTATCGTTTATTAAATAAACGAATATGTAGATGACAAATAAATCATTTCTCAAATAAGATTTAAAAATTTATGTCTTTAAACTTGTTTTAACAACCCTTTGTATATTTTTAGAAGATTTGTCACCCACATATTTTCATTTAAAAATAAGTAAATTATTTAAATGAATGTGCTAATTCGAGGAAAGGTGTTAATTATCTGTTGTACAGTATATTACAGGAAGAAGCTTAAAACCACTCTGTAAAATGAACACCCCGTACACCCCCTATAATATTGTATTAACTCGATAAAGAATTTGTATCGTCATGGGGTAAGTTCAATCCAATCTTCGCCATCCGAGGATTAACCATCAGCTGCTTTGGTCCTCTTTTATAATATAGTTAGCCGTGGTTGGGCAAGGCGCTATAAACTTGGGAGCTTGTATGCTCTCAATAAACTCTATGAGCAGTTTTCCAGAAAAAGCGAACGGGTTTTACAGTAAAGTTTTGTAGCTCGGTGTTGTCTAACATTTCTTAGGCTAACGCGCTTAATTAAAGTTGAACGTGTCTCGTGGAACACATTATTAATAGCCAATGAAAAGCATGCAAATCAAAAGCGCTAAATTTTTAATAAAATCACAAATAACCATATATAAAAAAAGAGGGAAAAAATCAAATTATTCTTTTTACATATAACTAATTTATTGAATTGAACTGATGGGATTTCGCAAAATAGTTTATATTATTTTATGTAACAGATTTACAATATTATGCAATAAAGGGATTTGTCCATGGTAGACCGGAAGCAGGAAACTTGATAAACGAGTAAAATCTTTTATGAGATAGTAAGAATAAGAACGTGTCAACATCTAAAGAATGAAAAGCATAGATTCACATGACACATGGAACCACGTGGTAATGACAAGCAACATAAATTCATGGTTTCTTCTCATTTTTCCCTTTTTCTTTATTCAATCTGTATTATGGAGTTTTGTATCGATTTCAATCACGACGATAGTAAAATACCATAAATGGTAGAAATTTTATTCCGAATAAAATTTATTTGTATTTGCTCTTTGATCGCTTCCGTATCGATATATTCAGTATTTTTTAATATTTCACGTCCTCATGTACGTCAAACTTACACAGATGAAATTCATTTATGGAAGCTAATTTATATCGCGCTGAATTTTATTGGAATTTATACGATTACCTTAACCGTTTTTAAAATGTTTATCTCGAAAATGAAAAGTGGGCAGCCCCGAAATTAAAATGAAAAGTACAATTTATAGATATGAAAAATGTTTCACGAGGAAAGAATTATATTTGCAATAATAAATATAAAGTGTTTGATATGAAATATGAAGATTACCGAAGACCTTTGTTTAATTTAACAAAAATTAAAAGTTTTTAATACTTTATCAGATTTAAAATTTCTGTTTAATAAAAAAGATAACACCTTTATACTAAATTGTTGATTTAAGATTAATTAAAAATATAGAAAAATTAGTGAAATTAGAAACATTATAATTAATATATCTACCTCTTGATTACTTCTGAAATACAATATCGTTTCATAACTTTAATTAAATCAAAAATAAACTTACCATATTACTTCTGTCAGGCTAGCTGGATTAGCTTCGTAATCACAAAAGATTATAAAATCCTCAGTTTCGTTCACTGTAATATTTTCTGGCTGAATACTGACTATAGGTGGATCTGTAACAAAAGAATTACTTTATGTTACATAAAAGTTTTAATATTCGCCTGGAATATTAGTGTGGCTTCAATTGAAATGAATTCTTTTGAAAATATCATCTGTAAAACGCGTCTCTATGTTACTGTACTTTTAATAGATTTTGTATTTTAATGAAAAATCAAATTTATCATTCACATTAGGGGAGATGCATTAACCATCATTTCTGACAATTTGTGTTAATTTTCTATATTAATTTTTACATTTAACTTTATCTTAATATTCTTGTACATATTTTATAAATTACCGTATCGCGACGTACTTCGAAGGGATACGCGTTCAGAATCCCTATTTTGGAAGAAGATTCCTAAAATAAGTCGTCGGCGAGGCGTCTGGAATTAAAATAACGCGTGCACGTTCGCTCGCTCGAAGAAATCCTAGGAAGCGGAAGGCGAAGCTTTGTCCGCGTTCCGAGATATGTTTAAACACGGGGTCGCAAAATGTCCGGCATAAAACAAAACCCCCGTCGTAAGTAGTAGGTAGTCGCGAGAGTGGCCTGCTAAAGAGGAAAGAGGGAAGTTGGACACGCGCCAGACCCGCGAGTTTCTCGTTTCCAATCCGTGGATAGTTTTCGTGCTTGCTGGGAAACGAAACCTTACTCTCCGCGAACCCTCGTCCCGACGAGCAGAAACTGGAAACGTCAACGAGACGAACGACTATCTATCTTCCTTTTTCCTATCGCGCCAAAAGGATCTTCCATTCCGCGCCATGTAATTGAAAGATACAAGGAGTTGGCTTACAGGGGACGAGATTATCGGGGCTACCATCGAAATTTAGCGCCTTCCTCGCTAAAAGGAACACAGAGAAATATTCCTTTCTTGAAATAAAAAAATACTGTGAGGAATCTCTTTGTGCCTTGTTTCTAAAGCACTTCTTCTAATTAATTTTGATCGCAAACTTTCGGAAGATAGGATGCCTATATTGTATAAACTTTTTTTATTTATAAACTGTAATATTATGTTTAACAGTTTTTTGAATAGTTAAATTACCATTATGAAACTAGTTACGTCAAATCGAGTGAACCAGAATCAATTTTCGAAAATTTTACATTATACAGGAGCAATTGAAATATGACCAAGAGATAATTGTTACAAAGTCTTTAGCCCAATTAAAACCGTGCTTCCAATCCTCTATCTTCCTCGAAATACGATCCACTCGTCGGATGAACATCGACCGATCTAATTCGTTTAATTAAATCTATGATCGTATCTTTTGCACCAGTCGAGAAAGTAAATTGGAGAGGGTATGAAAAAAAGAAACAGAAATATACGCAACGGTCGTCTGTGAGATGTAACTTCATTTCATGTCGAGGATATTGGACGATGATTAAACATAGGAAAAAATTGTGTTAGAGAACCTTGGAGATACGTTACGAACCCTTTGTTCGTTTCGAATCGCTAAGACTAAATTACAGACGATTCGTTACGATCCTTTTCCCGCCTTTAGAGAAAAATTTCTTTTCAATCGCGCCTTTCAAGATAAATGTATGCGAATCGTTCGTTTGAAAGTTACCATGACAAAGGTCCAGACGAGAAGTTTCATGAAAAATACATTCGATCGCAATTTTTAATTCCAATCATTTGGTCTCTTTTTGTGTATAACTATTAACCCTTTCATTACAACAAATTCAAATAATTCGTCATGCAAAAGCAGCTAAAGATTAATAATAAATTCTAGTGACGTTAGCTGGCACAAAAAGCGAATCAAGGTAGTATTAATGCGATTACACCCTTATTCGATTATTATTCTATTATATTTCGTTTTAAAGTACTGCTACGCGTGACCCATATTTTCACGCCGGGGTTCGCCATTAAAAGACTTAAACGCTTGTTATAATCTGGATTTCATTTTAATACCTGTTAGATCCCTTTAACAGTTTGCGATTTTATTATGAGGAAAATGGCAGAGATCCACCATTGAATAATGTATATTATCAACCGTCCTCGTGTTTCAATTTTAAAAGTAATTTAATCCGGCCAGAAATATGTAAATTATAAAATGATTCTTTTCACGGAATACGAAACACTTCTTCGTTGTTCGATAACAGCGCTTAATTTAATTCCATCAAATTTTAGAGGAATACATATAAAATCAAATTAAAATACGAATTTCGAGGTAAATTTGTTTCCAAGAATTTCACCAATTTAGTGGGTAAAATGGAGCGCAGAAACAAAACTCGTTTCAGCACGTAGTTGAAAAGCTGTTAAAAGTTAACTCGCATGCAAGTATTAATAGAAGTCAGAATTATTATTATTATTATTTTTTTATGAAGGTTAATCTCGCATGGCATGATAATAAAAAAAACTTTATAAAAGCTTTTGAAGAGGTATGTAGGCTGTTTCCCAGCTAATTAAAAGTTCATGTATTGTATTGCAGGTGAACTTCTATCGAAATATCTACGAAATATTGATGTCTTCGTTTAGTATTTAAAAATTAGTGGTAAATATTCAGATTTTCAGTTATTTATTATTAGTTATTATTATTTATTTATATAAAAACGATAGGCAAAATATGTTCGTGATGGTAAATCGAAGATATGGGAATTCTGAAAACTGTGCTTTACTTACATAAAACTTCGATCGTCATTGATTCTTTCATGGGTTTCAGAACCTCGGAACGCGTGACCGAGTTTTCAGCGTAACACTTGAACGTTCTTCCATTGTCGTACTCCGAGGCTGTAAAAGCTAGATGACTTATGGTTTCTGACGTGCCATCCGGCTGTGAACGAAAAAAAGATATCAAACGTTATATTAAATCAAATCAAATATCCAATCCGGATATAGAAACATCAATTCAGTTTATCAAATCAAAACTGTTTTCCTAAGTTTATATAAGTTTGTTATCAATTGAAATTGATATTTGTTCGTTTCACCGAAAATTGAAAATTTATTTTTCTTCTTTTTGCAATAAAATAAAACAACGTTTGATTAAAATCTATAATCTTTTCTTGTTTCTCTTTACATATTTCAATAAAAATACTTGCTCCATTCTAGAGAAAAATCCTAATTACAATAACGCTTGTAGTATGTCGGACTAAATATGGTTAATACTACTGTGGCGGCTGATACGTTCAATCTATACTACTTCAAAACGATTTTGGAGAACAAAACGTTTCACAGAACGAGCAATAAACGCGTTCATATTTCTTCGAGATTCATTTTGATATCGCGCTGCCAGTGAAGAAACGAAAGCTGTGTACGTGTGGTTTTTTTTCTCTGTTTTGTTTGTTTTTGACGAATGTCGAGCGGGAAACAAAAGGCTGGAAGCGAGGGGGTTAGCGGAAGGAAAGAATGGGGAAAAATGCCAGAGTGGCCGTGCAATCTGCGTACACAGCGTTCGCGAAACCATCACTTTAATTATTTCGAGTTCTTCCCTTTTTTTCACGTCACGTTTCGGTTGTTTCCAGATCCAGTCACCGCGAGAAAAAACACGTTCTTTGCTGGAAACAAGTGCTAAAATTTCATACAATTCAAGCTAAATATTGAATCCATCACTAATTGTGTAATTAGTGTTGCATGAAAGTAAAGAATTAATTTTTGGCGCAAAAATTTAAGTTAATTACAAACACTAATATTTATTCAATATTTGATATTCAAATAATTTAAAGAAATAAAAGATATTTAAATTGAATCAGAATAAAGACGAATTTAGTTTTAATTTTGAAATTTAAATGATTTAATACTTAATATTTAAATTAAACTTCAAATTATATTTCATGTTCAATTTAATATTACGAATATTTTAATTAGGAATGCCTTTGAAAATCTGCACATTTGTAAGATTTATGTGAAATGAATACAATAGAAAATCTACGGATGGAAATGCAAATTGAAGCCCTGTCATTGAAACGACTACTCGACTTTAATTTTGTTGATTCTGATGGTATGTGGATAACGAATGTAGTGGACCATGAATAACGCTGATCGGACATTTCGACATTCCGCGAAAAATGGGAGAATTGAACAAAATTCCATGGTACAGGATAATTTGATGTAGTTATTTTTTTGGGGTTTATTGTACTTTTTCATTTTCGTTTTGAAGGCTACCGAACTGGACATATTACGAGTTAATTCCATTGAAAAATTTGTATTCAGGTTTTGAAACGAAAGTAATCGCATTAAAAGGCATTAATGCATGGACTGCTATTAGGGTCATCGCTGATTGGAGCTGTAAACTCAATTTAACGCAATAATTAAAAAAGAAAAATCGCAATTGAATAAAAGGTTCATCAATGGCAGTCATTAAAAATTACCTATGCATCTTTAATAAAAAAAATTTTCATATTTTGCAATTTTTAACTTATAATAATTTACAATATTTAAATAAGAATTATTACTTAATTCACAAAAAAATTGCCCGAATAAATCAAAAGTTAAAAAGGGTTGAAAATTTCATTCTAAAATCTGATTGAATATCAAACGACTTCCGTCGGAACTGTATAACGTACAATTCAAAATCGAAACTTGCCATGAAACGTTTTTCTACAAAATTTGAAAGAGGCAAATCGATTTAAGGTGACGAAAATGGTGTGTAACTCGCGATATACGTCTTCACCTTGCTGGATGCAATTTTCAAGGGAAAAATTTCCGTGAAATCACTCCGTTCCCATCATCAGAATAGAAATTTTATTTTCCATTCGTCGGAGGTAGTTTTACACGGGGTGTTCCGATCGAACGAGTTGTTAATTGTCTGGCGTGAAACGTGAGTCGCGTTATCGCGATTATAGATTTCTGTTTCTCCCGCTTGCCGTTACACCCGGCGCGGTATCATAATTAGCATTGTTTACCGAGTACTTGATTATGGCACCAATGACGTAACGATCGAATCGTACCACCGATGTGTACGTGGCAACAGACAGAATTTACATAGAGCCAAGTAATTACATGCCACGAATGCTCGCCAATGCAAACACGCATCCTGCTGAACGCGAGATTAAGCGGATTCGCATGGACAGTTTCGCGATCCATCTTCCTCGTCTTTTCGGCAATCTTGTTACTAATCCTAAGACGAGGATAATTTGATTTTCATTTGAACACGTTGAATGCCGACCGTGACACCAACTTATTGTGGCAGACTGTCGTGCCGTTTTGGGAAAAGGATTTTTCCTGGTCTTTGTATTTTCAAGGGCTATGTATCGTGGGAGATGGAACTCGAGGGCTGGCAATGAAAGTGACGATAGCCAGAAGGAATAGCTAAGTGCCAGGGTTAATGAAGCTAGTCCTTGAAGGCAAAGGGTTATTTTCCCCCTTCCGATTTTTCTGTGGACGACCGTTTGATTTCGACGGAAAATCGGTAGAATTCATCTAGTGCCATTGTTTCAAATAAAAGCAACTCCACAAACTACTACACTCAGAATAAGAATAGGGCACGTATTATTTAAAATAATATTCGTTGCTAAACCATGCTCATTGAATCGGTAGCAATAATTTAAAAGGCCTTTGACGATGTTTCTCTGGGATCACGGTTTTCCAGTTTCGTCTTTCATTAAGCTAGTAGTTTCCGAAGTCGCGTTAACGAAGTTGGACATCAGTTCGAACATATTTTAAGTAACAGGGTGCTGGGTGCTCGCTTTGCAGCAAGTTCACCATTAATAAACTACTTCGACCGCTGAATAAACACAATTCCAAGTTGGCAACACTTGGAGCGAGAAAGCAATTATTCAAATACCCTTCTCGTTTTCCTTATACTTTGCGCGATTCCTTTCAACTATTCATTTTGAATTTAATTCGATCACTCGTGGCTTTATATTCATTTAGAGAAATACAAAAATTTTTACTCTTGCAGAGGATCGTCCCTTAAGCAACACATGTGATATGAGATATTCAAAATATAATGTAAGCTTCAGCTTACGATTAATTCGTTCTTACTTTGAAATATTAAAAAAATCATTACACGATTTTTATGGTTTCTCGTTACATTTTTATCTTCTCCCCGACGATCTTGAAAGCTTCGTTTTAGAGTGATCGCGTTAACTTTCGCGCAATCAACTGTCAATCGTTCGTACGATCTACTTGCCGTGTATGAAAAAGTGATTTCACAGATGAATAAAGTGTTCCAGGTTTGTCGCATCGGAAAATCATTTCGCGTGATTTCGCACGGCGAGACCGTGATATATCCTGTGTATACGTGTAGCCGTAGATCGTCGCCACCATCATAAATCCATTATGGCAATATCTCCGGCTATAAAGTCGCTTCGGCTTAGCCGGCTGAATATAAGAAATCCGATTACCATAGTTGCCCACTTTTTAGGCTACAACTGCGATCGTTCACGCGGCCGCTATTACCGGTAATTGCTTTCTAAATTTTCAATGAGAAATTTGAAAAACCGAAAAACCGAAAAAAAGATTTGATAGATGCGATAGATGATATTTGCTTTTCTCTTTTAACGTTTCAACAGCTATTTCGTTATTGAAAAATCTAAAATCCCTCTTTTTAATTGCTTTATCGAATTCTTTTGATAGAATAATTGTGGTGCAGAATTTTCATGAATTAGTTTAATACAATAGATTTCCTTTTAATATTTCTAGTATTTGTATCCCTCGAACAATTATCTATTGTGGATGTCGATGAAGATTGATATGAATAGCGTTTAATTGGGTCGCTTTTGATAGAACAAAAGTTGTAAGAAGAATATTGAACAAAAGTTTGATACAGACAGTATAAAATGTTCCTACTGGTACAAGTTAATTTCAATGTTAAAAATAACAAAATGGTTATAATAGAATGTTAAGTCAAATAATAGAAAAATATCTTCCAATATCAAATACAAAAATTTAAATATCGCGAAAAGGAAAAGAAATATCTAACTTTTACCATTTTGATAATTTTCTTTTTTTTAAGTGAAACTCCAAATTTTATCTTACCATCCTAAAATGGAATAATAGCGAACGCGTTAACAAAGTAAATAAATGGCTGAGTATCGACCTTGTCGCATTAATTTTGCAAGAGCGTGACACGTGTGCCATTTCAAAGCCAATACTCACGTTCTCGTGCACCTTCGTCTCGAACAGTGTGAATCTGTCGTTGCTGTCGTTTAAGTACTCGGTACCATTCTGCCAGGTGACATTTGCTGCCGGTCTAGCTGCTCGTACGGTACATTCAAGCAGGATCTTTGTTCCTTGCACCACGTGGCCTATAACCCCGCTTAAATCCATCTTCAATGGTCGAACTGGAAACAGAAGTACCGTATCGTTAAATATAGACGGCGGACCATGATGAGTGCTCGAATTTTAATTAAATTAAATGAAATACTCTTAACGATTATTGGAGTTTTCTGTTAAAAAAGGAAAAATCATTACAACGAACGTGCAGGAAGGTATCTGAGACATCACGTATTGGGGTAAAGCGACGTATTGGATAATTGGACAACTGGAACTCTGCGACAGACGGCAGTTCAATAAACGAATCAATCGACGTTCGAGCACGTTTTATTTCTCCGTTATGATATCGGTTACAATTTCGGTTCGTTTCTTTTCTCTACCCTTTTTCAACCGGTCGAGACGATTAAACGCCCTGTTACTCTTTTGTTTGCATTTTATTCGTTGCGGTTTGCGTCGATCTGACAACGTTTCGTTCACTGTACCCATTGAACAATTTTCTGGCGTATCTATATCTTTTTGCTTTTTTACAGGAAAGCCTTTCGCTGCATCGATGGAATTAGATTCATCGAAATGATTGATCGAATTTTTTTTTTAATGGATGATTAAGTTTGTTTGTTTTCTGAAATAAATTTCCACTTTTACTTCGTTGAACTGTGAATGACAAATGTAATCCCAAACTTATTACCGTTCAGTTTTCATTAAACGCATAAAATGCTGTTAAAAAAAAAATATCGCACCGAGAGGCGTTGAAGAGGGTTTTATCCACTAGGCTTTCAGCACAACTCACGTTTTCACGAGTTGTAAAATTTCTAAGTGGAGGTGCCAGTTTACGTTCGCTCGCTATCGCGGATATCGTAAAATCGTACGGGGATTTCAGGGACCCGTCATAAAGTTCACGAGGGAAAGCTTTCATTTGGTGTATAGGCCAACAGGAAATGGAGACAGAAATTTTCGGATTAGGCCTGGATGACTTGATTCTCTTATGGAAATTATTTTATTATTCTACGGAATTGAACATCTTATGGCATATTTCAAAATATGTTTTTTTTTTCATAATTCTTCATACTTTTCTCAATAATTAATTCAAAATTTAAAAAATCTAAAATTTAAAGAGACCTTGCAGAATTTTTCATACATTTGCATTAAATTTAAATAAAAAAATGGAATACTAATGATAAAAAAAGTGTATAAACTTGATAAAGTATTACTAGATTTAATCCAATCATCAGGTAGTAAACAAGCTGAGATAATCTCACTTCATCCCCTTATTCTTAATTACTGTTTCACTTTAGCAACGCTAGAAGATTGATAGCATGCAATGTTGCATGTCCAGTAAGTTAGTTTTAATAAAGCTTTCGGTCACGTAAACGATCACAAAGGTACATTGTACGTAGGTAGATAAAGGATGAACAAAATTACTCTGCTATGAAAATAACAACATAAGGGGTTGATATTGTAATATTATAAAATCAGTTCATAAATCTTAAACTATCTACACTGCCTACCCTTCCAAAGTAAATGATTAACAATAAAGAAAAAAAAGTACATTCTTTGATTTTTAAACAATTTTTTTGCCAAAGCACTTGATTAATGCTCATCTTTTTATATTATATAAATATCTCTACTTTTCTTTCTCTCTTTTAACAACCGTTTGAACATTGAAGAATTCATTCGTCTCGTTAGTCACAGAGACGTTTTCTGAAACGAACTATTTCTCAGTCTTTTCTATTTTTTTTTTTTTTTCTTTTTTTATCCCTAGCCACAAGCTCAATTTCCGGTTAGTCAGTGGAGATACTTAGTCGCGGTACTCGCGGTCGTTTCCTGAACCGAAGAAACATTAAAAAGTTCACGTGCGAGGATCCTTCTTCGGTCTTCGAAACGAACCTTCCTCCTCCGGAGAAAGGCAAGTAGGAGAAAGCTCCCGAGGCGGTTACAGGAGAGATAATTCTCAAGCGAAACCGGGCAATCAGCGAAACGACGCGGAGGAAAACGTGAAAAGAAAGGCTCTGGTCGATTCAGAATAGAGAGCGAACAGGGAATCTAATATCGGGAATTCCATTTGCCTTGAATCGCGTCCTCTGTCCTCTCCTTAGACCGCGTATAAGAAAAACGAAGGAAAGAAAAAAGAATGACAAGGATCCATTTTCTCTTCTTCTTTCATTTTATTTTTAACGAGTCGCCTCGATGCTTTTCAGACCTTCTGCTCATGAGCGCGCACAGAATCGACGCGAAACGGTTTATCGGCTCCGACTTGTGCGGTTTCCAAGAATAATGGGAAAATTTCTCTGTTGAGGTAATACGATTTCCTGGGAATAATTGAGGAAAGCGAAAGTGGTTTTTCATAAAGAACCCAGAGCTGCTTTCCAAACCATTTTCCTACCGATCATCAATTTCTTTTTATTTCGAGTTTTCCAACACTCATTAAGTTCTCTTACAGAGTCGCTTGTACAGAGTTCTTTTTTCTTTTATAATTAACTGCTTTGATTTCGTCGATTTAAACTTTTCACAATTTTTTGTTTATAAAAGTGGTTTGTTACAGAAGGGGTGGTTTTTTCCTCATATTATTATCATTGTTTAAATTTTACACTGTTTCCATAAAAATTGTATGAAAGCGTTTAATTTTCTGTTAACACCCTTGCAAACGTTTCGCAATTTTGGGTCACGGTTGACCCAGACTCCGCTGTTCAAGGGTTAAATTAGCAGGTGATAATATCTACAATTTGAAGACAAAGTTTTTTAAGAAGAAATCGTTGAACCGTGGACAAATTTTTCCTTTTTCACCCCTTTCCCTCGGTACTGATCGATCACATTCCCTTCGCACCGGATTTCCCCCGGAACTGTTTGTTCCCCAATCAATTATCGCCGCAGACCCTTTTCCCTTAACGGTGAAAATGTTTTTTTCCTTCCGCCACGCCAGAAGGCTTCGAAGAGAGTTAGCCAGCCGGTTGGGAAGCCGAGACGAACAGAGTTTTCAAGTCTGAGCCTGGCAGGGATGCGATTTCCAGCTCTTGTTTGCCCGTAAGAGGTGGCGTGTCTGCAAACTCCTGCAGGTGTGTCGACTCGGTTCAGACTTTTTCGTTGCTCGAACGAGCTTCGAAGACCTGACTTTTCACAGCAGCTGCGCGTACCGTGAGACTTTCGCAGATACCCGCGGCCACTACCCAACGATTCAACTTTAAATCCACGGCAAGTCGTTAAAAGCGGCTTACTTAATCGATTTATTCGCGGCCATTCCTCTCTGATATTGGAAAAAGAACGAAGTTTCGGGGTTAGGAATGCTCACGGTTCGCTGAACACTTTTTCAACGGTTTTGCAGAGACGTCGATTACTCGTTTCGCTTCAAATATTTCTACGTGTCTCGTTTTTGTTTCACGAAAGATTCATTGCTCCAGGAGATTAACACTAGATTGCCGGACTCACATCCGTCAAAATAGATATAACACATATGGATTTTTAGAACTGAGGAGTGGAGAGGGGAAGGAATTAGCATTTGTATACATTTCATAATTTTATTAAAAACCAACGTATGTTTTAAAAAAAATTATTTAAGTTTTTTTATATATATAGCAATAAAATCGTAAATGAGTCAAATTGATTCGCTCCGGCAATCTAGTGTTAAGTAGGTTCTCTTGAGTGACATGTAATGTTTATCTATGCTTATTCATAAGACTCTTTGTATAATACCGAGATAAATGTTATCATTTCGAAAATTTAAATTCATTCTGTTTCTTCATTCTCAGAAATTTTTTCCCGTCCAATTAAAGAAAAAAAGAGGATGTTTCCGATTCGTTAACTACACGTGTGCAATGTTCCGAAGCTTTGAAGTAGGAATAGAAAAAGAGCCGATCACACCGGGCAAATTAGCGATCGGAATTGTTCCACGTCCCGCGTGCTCATGCCATTTCTGTCGCGGTGAATCCAAGAAAGTATTGCAAAAGAAGGAAAAAAAAAAAGACACGGTCGTTATCGATACGTTTGCGGTGTGGATAATGGCGTTGGATCCTTTCATTGAATACCGGATAAAAATGGTCATTATTTCACCGCGATTAAAGCCATAGAAGGGGGATGAAACCGATTCAGCTGCGTGGCGCTTAGTAATCTTGAGTAATTTATGGGCAATCGTGGCCATATAAATGCAACGACCATGGTCGGGATATGAAAACTACCGAGCGTTTGTATGGAAACAGCGTATCGACGATCCTGCAGGATGTTTTCGTAAATTATATCTACGAAGGGTGGTTGCTAAATATGTAATAACTAGATTTGCTTGGGGTTTCCAAAACTGAATAAACCGCAGAGGAAAAAAATATTGAAAATACTATTTATGATTATGATTTCTAATTAGTGATTATGATAAAAATAATTTCGAGTTACTTCTTGTAAATATTCTACTGTGTGCTGAGTTAACCCTCGGACGGCGGACCACGGAGAGAGCCCGAATTTCAACGAATTTCAATTTAATTTTCCTTTAATTTCAAAGAATGATTTCTTTAATATATGAAACTCTGTTGTTTAAAGATTATACATTTAACTTTGCATTTCGATCGACTCAGACTCTGACGTTCAAAGGTTAATTATATCTGATTTATAAAGTCATTATCCACTAATTACGAATGTTTCAGAAATGAAAGATAAAACTGGTCGTCAGTGTTGTGACAATCCAGAATTTCTTGGAACATCGGATACGCCATTTCAAAGCTTTTCATCACTTCGTCTGGTTTCTTCTTGTCACGATAATCCTTTGGCATTTCGTAGAAGGAGAATTGCTTTCCTCGAAATACGACAAACTCTCGAGTTTCTAGGAATCAAAGTTCCGACTTATTTACCTTCAAGGCAGCTCCGTCATCCGTTCCATTTGTACTGGGAACAGCACACCGAAGTATGTGTACGGTTCTCGAACAGCATAATTATCCCAGTCAAATTATTTACTCGTTAAACTTCTATGATCGTCAAAGCTGTCTCTCTGTGGCGGGTAAATTATCCGAAGGCTGTCGTTCGGGCTCGCAATTAAAAAAAATATTTGGACTCTGATATTTGCTTCTACGTTTGATTTGCTGGGTGATGGGGATAGTTAATATTTTTTGGAGAAGGGAACAGAGAGCAGGCACTGATGGTCAAAGTTCGAATTTTTGTGCAAATAAATTTTCCCTCTAGATTAGAAAAATTACTTCAGTTTTCTAAACAATTTATTTGATTTTCCCCATACGTACCACCATCTGATAGAGTACAAATGTATAAATTTTCCGAGTTTACCAATGATACATATTTTTCCAGATATTGTTAATAGAAAGTGAACGTGATTTGCCATAATCATATGTGATAACACTCTAACCTGACATGGATACCGATAACTGACCTAAATCACACAGAGATTCGATATCTCCCCTCAGTAGTTACGGTCTGATACTGATCAGACATCTCGTGCTCTGCTATTCAGTGATCTGAACTTAATATTAGCGCTGGGATGTATACTAGATACTTGACGTGACACGATATACTGGCACAATGCTATCTTGTCCCTTTACTGAAATTAAAGATGTATATCTTTAACATGAACTCGTAACACGGTGGACCAACTTTGATAAAATGAAACGATACAGGAATGAATGCTGAATTTTGATGAGCTAAAGCGTGAAATATTAATTAATGGATATGTTATAAGAGGGTCGGTGTTGCATTCGAGAATAGTGTCTATTACGTTATACATATTATTTAATACATACTCTAAATTCCACCATATGGAGATTAAAAAATTACCATAGATAGAGTGGAAAATTATTGTAAAAGTTGTAATTAAAAATCTTCAGAAATATTTCGTTTAATTAAAAAATATTAAATTTTGGACTGAATCATTGTGGAAGATAATCAACGATAATTAAAAAAAATTGAAATAAAGTTGGATAAAAATGTAATGGTAAAGGCTGTGATTCAAGTGAAATTTTAACGACCATAGTTTTTCACGAGGGAAAAGAGCTCTTTTTTTTTAATGCCACGAGCGAAATGATTTATGGCTAGAAGTAGCAAGATCATAATTTACTGAGGATTGATTCTCTTTGACTTCGTTTGTAATTCATAGATCATACTTAACTTCCGAAACTTTCGACTAAAATTGATCGCATGCCAGAACTCTCCGTACGGTTGTATCTAAAAACATTAATCTTCGATGCACCATTATCAGCTGAAGAACAGAAATTGTAATTTATAATTGAATCTTTTTGTTTCAGCCCAATGTGCAACATCCTCGAGTTTCAGTTGATGAAAAACTTTTTCTTTGAATAATATCCATGCTTCGTTTACGTCGTAAATGTTTCAACGGAACGGTGAATGTTTAATTTAAAAGTCAACGTTGAATTCCGTCAGTTTTAATGAATGTAATTTCAAAATGAAAAATCAGGGAATTTTTTACTGCTATGTGAAGCATCTTTCAACGAGAAGATGTTTTAACGATGAAAAAAATTGTGGAAATGTATATAAATAAATAAAAACGTTCTGGTTTTTATTTTTCAACAAAATGAGAGATTTTTAATTTCAGTTTACTTGAAACTAAATATCGTATTGTAAAATTCTATTCATTAGCATTTCAACTTGTTTCTGCAATAATGTGGTGGAATAGCTTTTTACTTATTTTAACATTTCAATAGCTTTTGTACAATTTTTGAATGAAAGGGTTTCATATGGGTTTCATGTTTTAATTATGATTTCTAACAGTATAATGGACTATTCTTTTCTTTTTCTTGACACTTTGACAGGAATTTTAATGCATGAACTTCAGAACACTTTTGGAAAAAGTTAAATATTTGAAAAATGAAATTCGATCTGATACAGAAGAGTCTAAGAGATTCATAAAAAGATTGTACAAAGTGGGGTATACATCATTTTTCATCGTTTTTTCAAGATTCTCGTACCAACTTTATATGTATTCTGATATCTATAGATTCCACGAAAAAATTCTATAAAGCCTTTTCACTTTGTAATACGTAGAAGATTTTCTCTGTTGGAAAAAGGATTCTATTTCATACGAAGTAATTCAAATTAAACAGAAAAAAAATTAAAAAGCAATGCAAATAAACCTCTTCTTATTTGAAATGCATAAATTAAAAACCATTTATATAGATTCCGTATATCTAATTTCATAATATTAAAAATGAAGACCTCTATTTTTATATAAAATGAGTTTCAAAATTATTCATTTCCCTCTGCAGCAAAATTAAAATATTTAATAGTAAATACTCCAAGCTAAACTTAGAAAGATAAATTATTACTTTCCACTAAATGCAAATTTACAAAATTAATTAATTTAAGTTTCAATACCATTAATAAACATTTTTATTTTCAATTAATTTCCTATGCATTTCGTTCAAACTTTCTTTTTCTTTCATTTAAATATAACTCAAGCTATTCCATTTAAAAAAAAAAAGATCCTGCTTCAGAAAAAGTGGTTCAATTTCACAGAAGCAGTACATTATGAAAGAAACAATGGTAGAAGAAGCAACCGAACAGTTTTCCACTCTTTTAGAGACTTTTCCCGAAACTCTCGAAAGGATTTCAACAAGATGTCCAGATAAAACTGGGAACCCGATCCAGGGTAGTTCAAGTTTGCTGGAATTATTTCAATAGCCTTTATCGATTGAGATGTCGATAAAGAAACGGTTATTGCTCCGAGTGATTCACTTTCCCGTGACAGTATACACATTTCTATAACAAGGTACTTTTACCAGAGAGCAAAAAGAAATTGCATAAAGACTGGAAGCAATTCTCATTCTTATCCTATATTAATAATTTTAAGAAAAATAATAAATAATTAGTACTCGAAAACAAATTAATTAGAATTTTGATTTCACTTACTGAATTTTGTAACTCATTTTGCTACATTTAAAATGTGTTATATTTTTTATTAAATATTGAAATAATTTACTATTAAAAAATATGAAATACCAGTATTTAATTTAATATATGAAATAGTATTTATGGAAATGTAACCCTTATTTAATTAAAAATTTGTAATTATCTAATTTTATAAATAAAAACGTAGTTTTAGTTTTGCTAACTTTCTTTTATACGCATAGAAAATAGCCCTATCCTAAGTAGACCTAAAACTCCAACACCTTGGGATTCCTATGGTTAATTTGGTTAGAGAGTATCTCCCAAGTATCGTTCGCCACATCGCAATATTTGACCGAAACAGAGCGAACTAGTAACCTAATCTTCAACAATTTCAAATTAAATTAATTTAGAGTTTACGTACCGTGAACATCGAGCTTGATGTCGACGGTGAGGGGCTCGGGGAGTGCTATGCTGTTGACTTTACACGTGAAAGTTGCATCTAGCTCGTCGCGTGTGATTTGCATCTGCAGTAAGCTGCTTGCATTCCCTATCCCGCTGTCCGCAATCGTCGACGAGCTGGTAGCTGAAACAGATGCGTATAAAACCGTTTGAAGTTGCGTTTTTAGATCAACCTCCACGTTGACGTATATTTTAAATCAATTCAATGCAATTTTTAAATAAAATACTGATAGTGTCAGATTTAATGTATAAGTGAATTTATTGTTAATTAAACTTAACTTATACATTTTTTCTTGAATCAAAAGTGCTCAAATACCATCTCCCTTATGAATAAATAAATAAATATGGAGTGATTTAAAGAAATAAAAACACACCCTCTAAAGTGAAGACCCCTTTTTAACACCCTGTATAAAACATGAATCGTTTAGATAAATATTTATTTTACTGTATTATAAAAAATTTGATGATCAAACGTCAAGTGATGAAGAAGTATAAAATTTTAGGGTAGAAGAAAATCGTGATTTAACAGCTGGTAAATCCTACCTTCCAGTGGTTGATCGTCTTTAAACCACTCGACCGTTGGCACAGGTTTCCCTTCGCCGCTCTCGCAGTACAAGGAAATCGTCGAACCTTCGTTTATAGGTCCTAAAGTGGCACCGGTGCTTAACGTGCTCTTCGTGTTCTCGTCGATGACACGTACGAACGGTGGTTGCACTGAAACAGAAACGAAAGGCGGTCAATTACGTGGTTCAAAACTGCCTTCGATTCGTCCTACTACTGCTGTTTCTATTCATTAGACACGATTGCTTACCGATCAACCGTAGCTCATCGATTTATTAGAAAAAAAAGGAACCGAATGATTTATTACTAATAACTAGGGTACTTGTCTCTGTTAGCGAGCCTGTTACTTAATTAAATTATTTAACCATTTGTTCCATTTGCGTATATAAAAACAATGTGCAAAGTACATACTGCATATAAAAAAATTAAATAGTTAAGAATTTATTTTTTTGAAATTGCTGTATTTTATTATGAATATCAGTGAAGAAATACGCGAACAAATAATATAAATTTATTGATATTTCATTTTTAAGATGCAGCTCTTTATCCTTTCGAATGCAAAGCTTTCTAGACGTAAACTACTTTTACTGGAAATTGCTTTCAGTGGATAATGACGATCGGTGTAGACATGCATTTGCACTTATGCTTAGTTCTACTTAACATTAATTACCTATATGTACCTACATGAAATGCAAACAATGATTTTTGTATGGGTAAAAATCTGTAAAATATATGTGTAAAGTCTGTTTTATCACATTTTATAATCTTAGAACAATCTTCGAAAAATCATTGCTATGCTTAACATACAAATTAATATACGAAATTCTTGATAAATATTGAATGCATTATTCAAGAATAAAATTATTTTAATAGCTATTTAAACATTAATAATTTGCATAAATACATAAGTTATAAAAAAAAGCAATTATTATACAAAATAATTTCTTTTGCATAGCTATTTCTGATAAAATAGATAGCTGCTCTAATCATACTAGTTTCTATAAATTTTAATACGTCTTTAAAATTGAATATTAATTTGCCTCTATTGTTCCGTATCAAAGAGAGGAATATTTCATTTGATTAACGAACGAACAACGAACGTTTTAATATATTTTCGATTGGTCGATAACAAGCAGAATTTCACCTTCCGTAATATATTTTCTATGAATTCATTATTTGCATCGTTCATCGGCCGGAATAAAATGGGATTTTCTACGAACCGACAATGCATCTTTCGACAAATCGTATGTATGGAGGATAATGCACGAGCCAGGACTGTGGGGTAATAAAAGAACAGAAGAAAATAATTTGCCTTTCGTTGCCAAAATAAAACATTGTTCATGGAACAAAGCTCGACCCCAGGAAACTGCACCTAAATTCTAAATCTCCTATTTTTCTACCCTTTTAAAAACGCTAAACAGTTAAATAAAATAATCACAACAGGAACTACTTGTTATAAATTTACTTTTCTTTGTAAAATTATTGTATAAGAAATTAAAAAATATAAATATAGCAATGTTATTAAATGAATAATCTTTATTAAATTTCTACTACCAGAGTATACTTTCTCTTCATGGTACTTGAATTCTTGAATTTTGCTTTCGGTGGTACGAATTTGAATGAAACAAAATACACATTCCATTGTTTCGACATTACCAATGCAGTGTCTAACTGGTGGTACATTAGAAAGTCAGTCGCAACGTAAATCGTCCAGAAAAGTTTCTGGTTAAAATCATAATACCCTCTGTGTTCCCTCGACCCTCTTTCACCGCGGGAGACCACTTTCCACCCACCTTCTCTCTCGAATTTAATATCTCTCCGAGTTTTCTGGTCGCTGAGACGTTTGAATCCAGTTTTTAATTCGAGCCTGCCGCCGGAGAAGTTCCATTGTCATGGAAGGGAAGAGCAAAGGGAGACAGGAAACCGTCAGAGAGGAGGGAATTGAAGCGAACCACCTTTTCTTGGGGACAGCTCAACAACGACTACGAATAAACTTTTCAACGCGTACAAGTGCCGTTTCCGGTAACTAAACTCGCCTCGTCACTAGTCCTGGCTAAATTCAACGTGAGACACGGAATGTCAAGCAATTGTTTTTGTTACAAAATTTATCCTGCGAATTTAAATCGGCTTTGCTGAAAGATGTAACTTTTTACATCAAGAAAACTAACAATAAGTAGAATTTTCTTAATTTGTACAAGATTAAAACGATTAACCCTCGGACGGCGGACCAAGGAGAGAGCCTGAATTTTAATTTCATTTCGTGTTTTATATTATTTTCATAAAATAAGAAATATTAATAACAGAATAATCGATTACATTTATGAAAGAAATATATTTCTCTGTTTTTATAGCGAACGAAATGCGGCAAACTAAATTTACGATCTTACTTCTAGTAAACCAAATGTTAGCTATAGCACAGGCATCGTTCGCGGTGGTTATTTCATAAAACCGAAAGAAAAGTAGGAGACGCAGTTATAAGAAAAGTGCACCACTTGTCAGAAACCTCTCTGGAGTTTCTCTAATCTAGCAAATCGTCAGGTCCCAAAGCAGCGATTTTATGATACTGGGTAAAACGAGCTCTGTCAGAACGAAAGGAGAAATATACTTTGAAGGAATACGAAACAATGGAGAAATTTGATTAAACAGTGTTCCTGATACATCAAATGAAATAATGTACGTACATAAAACTCTTCTGGCATTTATTGAATTATTGATATTAAACCCTGTGGAAAATTGTGCAATAGTCGGAAGGCATAGATCAAATGCTACATTGTCTAAAATTTAATAATATAGTAAGAAAAGATAGTATGAAAAATATCAATAAGCTCTAGTTTTGGATTCGAAACTTGGAAGAGATGGAACAATGTATTTCGATTTAGAATTAGAAGGAAAGGATACAGGAGATTGGAGTCAGACGTGTTCACAGAGTCGATTGAAACCCAATGACCCAGAGAGGAAAGCTGAAATCCCATAATTTCCAGCGGTTAGAAGGTCTAATTGGGTTGGCCGCGAGACAAGTGGCCCTTCATACAATTTAAATAGACCCGAACTGCTGCTTCTCCGCATAGTTCGCGGCCGTAACAGCTTTCTATCCGATAAATTGCACTTTGAAATACGTTGGTCAGATGCCGAGAACACGCAGAAACGATCGTTACGATAAATTCCACTGAATTACCACGGGTTTTGATTATAATTTCACCCGCCTCGGAATTACTTGTCTTTCTTTCATTCTCATGCTTTTCTTCTTTTGCATATTAGAATCAAGAAAAAAGAATTTTAATGCTTAGTCGATGATATAGGTTCTCCTTTCCTTTTCCCCCGAAAACTGGTAATGATTAGAATTTTATCATTATAAAAAGAAACTTGTGTATCCATTCAACGAGCTTTGCAAATAAATTTTCTACACTTTGCACACTTTATTTCTGTAGCTGGATTAAAACGACTCAAACTCTGCTAACGCGGTAACGTGTAACGTTGAAAGTGAAAAGTGACAACGAGTGGAAGAATCGTGTTGAGTATGAACGAAATGAGTTTGAACTTCTGAAAATTTCATTCCAGCCATCACGCCGGAATCGCGTAGTCTCTTTCGTCTATACATTCGTACGAGGCAGATATAGAAAACTTGGAAACAAGCATTAGGTTGATGTAAAAGTTCCAGCATACGTTTCCGGCCGAGCTGTACGTATGTACAGAGAAGCTGGAACTCTCGTAAAATAAAATTAAACTTGCTTTTCCTATATTTTCCCCCGGCATCGAATTTTCTTTGCTTCCTTAAACATCAAAACTCGATACACGAATATGTTTTCTGTTCGGTTATCGATATTGAATCGTTCGATTTTCCTGTAACTGGTAGTTGGGTAATCGATCAAATTGTTTTATCGAAAAATAATTATTCGGAGTAGTTGAGGTGCTTTAAATTTAGAATATTCACGAAATGAATATTCCTTTTAAAATGAGGAAAGGAGGAATGTAAATGAAATTCATTATGAAATCTACCGTGTAATTATAATGTCTGCAAAATGTTATAGTTATGTGTTATATTATATTCTGATAATTATTTTAGTTTCAAGCTACCTTAATATTTAATTAATAATTACAAAATCTCGTCCTATTTAATGATATTGCTCGGTAACTCGTTATGGAACATTGATAACGTGTATAAAAAGGTGAGAAATACGTCAGAATAATGTTCGCGTAAAAAGCACGCGCAGTTTTAAAAAAAGAAATGAGAACTGTGATCGCCTGAAGCAATTTCCGCGACAAGGACCCACGAGTGATACTTCGCACGAAGCATGTAAGAAAGAAGAATGGACTGTTTAATTTCCCCGGTTAATTGTGTCATTCGGTCGAAAAATGTGCCAAGATTGAGCTTCCCTCGTTCCAAGTACACCCCCTGGCTATCGAATTAGGGTCACTAAATATTTTTCAATATTTTTCGTATTTTTAATACAATGAACCAGCTTCATTTTTGAAAGTAAAATCGATTAACCATTAACCAGACTAGTACTTTTTTCAAAATACCTTTATACACTATTTCATTATATTTTTTATATTTTCATTTTGTTAAATTTCTACAATTTTGAGCAAAAGAAGAATTATATTACGATCAAACAAAAGTATCAGGGTTCGTTTAACACCAATTTCTTTCAGCACTGCTGTTTATACTTTTGAACAACGAAATCCTAACAATTTAAAACAATGGACAAATATGAAATGCATTGTTAGTATGAAACAGAGATACAGTTAAAAGCTTTTGTTTTTACTTAAAATAGAATTGTCCATAAAAATAAGCGTTTGTATGCACGAGGACAATTTAAACTTTTAATAGAAATACAGAATTAATTGTTTTTATTCAATTTCATTCATAACTGTCAACAGATTTTTCACATTCAAACGTTCAATTGCTGCTCGTTATAGAATCTGTGATTGGAAAAAGAATTTAGCGTTCAGCATTTTAATCTTTCATTTGTACACTAAAAATAATTATTCATTGTGACTTGTGTTTTTGTTCCTTGCTAATGATAATTTTTCAAAGTATTTTAAATAAATTATTAGAGTAGCTGGATTAAAAGATTAATTGTCAAATTATGCAGATGTAATATTTTTCAAATAATTTCATAAACTGAGGATTTGACGAAAAATCTAATTTCATCAGGAGATAGATTGGAGATTATTTCTTTAAATAATATTAAGAAAAGTTAAAAATAACGTATGGTTCTTTTTTATCCAGCTGCCTCATAATACCCTCTCCAACCCCATAATCCCATATGTCCACCATGATTTCACTTCATGTCCACTCTCCACACATTTCGCCATCCATCTACCGTTCATTTCACATTTTCACCAGAGACCAGGATACTCTCAGACATCTTCAAAATTTCATGCAAGTTGCTTCGAAGTTCCGCGAAACTTTCGCTCGGAACATAAACGAACACGAGAAAATATGGAGTCCACGCAACCAGTTCGGCATTCGTGTTTCAACTTATGCCATTCCCGTGTTTCGTTTGGTAACACGCTACGTCGTGGCTGGCTGGTGTAATCACAATAAACCCTCAATGGATGAACAGTTTCGGCACGGTCGGTCGAGTCCAAAACACGTCTCGCCATTAACACGGTCCAGTGGTTATCGCGTAACGTAAGAATATGACGATCGTAATGGTACCTTGGGCAGTTTCCAACATTGTTAACGTAGCTGCGGTTTAACGTGAAAATTTCTGCGATATTCCACTTACATCCGCCTTCCTGGCAATCATTGCCGACTGCTTCGTTCTAACGATTCTAATCTAACAATCGCAGTTCCAGCTTCTTCAACGTTCTTGCTTACGGGTAGCCGGGTAGACAAAAATTACCCGTGAGATACCCGAATAGACAAAAATTACCTGAACACCCGTTCCAAAATGGTTAATTTGGATAACTAATTAAAATTAGTTAAAAATATTTTTATTTCGTAATTTTATAAATTAAAATTTTATTCTTTTTGAATAAGAAAATTTTTTAACGCCAGCAAGTTAAGAGAAGATTATTTCTGCCACTTGGAAATAAATATTTTTGAAAGAGGATAAAGACTAAAGGTCTACCTCTTAAATAAAGATCGTTAACTTTTTCATTAAAACATTTTACACCATCAGCAATTTTACTTTTACCCGGAATTCATTTTCAATTAATCTAATCCCCGCGTGATCTTTTTAACGTCCTATTAACTAGTGCAAGCTCAAACGTGGGTATTTATTACGATTTAAGCGCGCTTCTCTGACGATAACCGTGGAGTGAGATCTCGGTTTACGGCTAAAATTTCAAAGTAATTGGCATCCCTTTCATGTAGGTAAATTCAACCGCACTTTAATAGTATGACATGTTGCGTGTGTCAAGATAACCGGTTCAGTGGTTTAGCTGCTACCACTTCGGATTAGTACTGTGGCTTTCTCGTTTGTCGAATTACTGGGATTACCTAGATTACACGGATCGTACAAGTACGATACGTCTAATACGAGTTATTCCATGCATATCTTTACTGGAAGAGATGGTCCGTGTTTAATCGATTAATTAAATTATACAGCCCCTTCGTGTGTCGCGTCCCGTGAAAAGCACCCCTGGTCGGAATTAAGCGAATCCCGATCAATGGACTTTCACAGTTAGGATCGTATGATAGGTATGGAAATAACTGCTTAGTGGGAAAATTTTGATACCTATAGATTTATCCGAAGTCGCTTACTCAACCGGGGAATAGGTGTTAGGAGATAACTTACCGGTGACATTTAGTATGATATGCTGAACATTATTGCACTCTCGGTTCACAGCCATGTACGTAGCTTCACACTTATAAAGCCCTTCATCTTCCAACTTGACGTCTGGTATCTTCAAGTAAGTCTTCGAAGAATTTGTCGTGTACTCTATATCCGATCTGCAAGAAGATTAACTGAATTTTAGTTGCAAACTTTAGTGAAAGATACTGATTGTAGGCTTTATAATAACCCTGACATAAACTAATTTAACTGACTGAAGCTTTAACTTGCAATTAATATATTTCAGTTATGAAAATAATTATTACAATACAAAATAACGATAGCACTTTCATTGAATAGTGAAACGATTGTTAGCTCTAATTACTCGAATTGATTAATTATGATAATTAGGGACAATGGAAAAAAAAGAAAAGTACATTATTAAAATTTCTTAGTGTTTATAATGTCTAATGTCTATGAAATATGTTTAAATGTTTATTTTCAATTCCTTGAACAGATTTCTCTGAATCAGTATCATTTAGTCGTTCACTTTGATCCTTACAATCGCAATTACAAACATTCTACGTTTACCCCGACGCGATGCAGTTTCGGTTCGTTAGTAGAAATGCTTAGGAATTGTATCTGTGGCATGTATCCCGTGAGCGACGCAATATCCGAATAGCAGCGATAATTGTTATTAACTAGTGCGTTTGTTCATTAATGCGATGCACTTCTGTTGATTGCCAGCGGAATGATATACGCAGCAGCTGAACAAATATGTTCGACTGTAGGTATGTAAAACAGTCTGTACCGTATCTCCGCTATGTAATCTATTTACATATTGTTATAGTTATATATACCGCAATAGTTGCATCGAGAAATCTATGCAGTCGTAACGTTAGTTCGACGTTCAGATTGCAGGTCATAATTGAAACTGCATTACTGCAGAAGGAGATACTGCAACGATCTTAGTGCATACCATCAAATTCAATTTGTTAATTTTTTAATTGCCAAATGAAGATTATTTGCCATATTAACACGTCGTGAAACATATTGAAGCTTTAATTGTAATTAGAAATAAGAATAATTAATTTACAAATGTCAAGCTTTTCATTTGCCACCTTGCGCTATTAGCAAAATAATATTTCTTAAATTTAATTATTAGTGTAATTTGCACTTTTTCCTTGTCGTGCGAGGAAGAGGGCTCACTAATCAAAGTGTTAACCCATTCAGTGGTATATAAAAGATGAGAATAGATTAATATAAGTGTTAATTATGATCATAATTAAGTTTAACCCATTAGGAGGTGAGATATGCAAGGAAGCAAACATTAATCATGTGTTCCATTTGTCAAATGGTCTGTCCTGGAGATTGACATACGAACTGCCAGGAGCGTTCCATCAAATCCTTCGATTTCCCAATGACCAATATCACACCATCGAACCGCAATATATTTCTAAATATCCACAATGCAGTGTCAAAATGTCCATGTCAAAATGTCTATGTCAAAATACAGTATATAGATTGCTATCATGGAGTGTGATATTTTCAGCTTAATTTATGTAACTATTGGCTAATTACATACACGAGAAGACCTAATTACCGTGTTCACAATTTTCATGCTATTATATGGTAACTTATAGCACATCAATTCAAAATTTAAGATTTTATAAAAATGACTATATAATGGTTCAGTTAGACCAGACAAGATGAAACAATTTGATAGAAGTGTGCACAAATGTACGAGCAATTTTAGTGTATTGCTTTTCTAACGAGTCGCCCAAAGAATTTTTTTATTCCTTTTTTTCTAAACTTTGAAAGATCCCCAGAATGTCGAGGATGTTAATTACTCGACTTCAAGAAACTGGGCCGGAAATAGGTACTGCTAGGTCAGCTGTTACGGAGATAGAACACAGTAAAGAACGTTCGAAATTAGCTGGCAGCAAATTAGTCCAAAGTAAAGGGAATTGCCCATAGCTGCAGCAAACCGTAGTGTTCTCATTAAAATTATTAACCAAAATTATTACGTATTGCATCAATTTCGACTGATATAAAGAAGATAGGATATATCATTTGCCAAAAAAAAACCTTGATTCTGTTTTAATTAACTCCTTTAACATCGTGTAAAAGAAAATCAACTGGAATTTGTCGTCGTTCAAAGTAATTAACACTCGATTGAAGGAAATAAAATATTGAAGGAAATAAAATATTGAAGGAAATTTACATTTATACACAGACTGATTTAAATGAAACGCAAATCAGCTTATTTTGTTTATCCTCTGCTAAAATAAATAATGAATGTTTCATGAGTAGCTTAATTTTCGATATTGAAGGATCAGAAGCGAAAAATTTGTTGGTTCGGTTAGAGAGATGAATTTAATCAGAAAAATGGATTAATGCAAAGCAATATTTGTAATATGCAATGTAATTACCGTAATTATGTAATTACCGGAATATGTTTACTTCCAACATAAATTAATTGACTTTCATGTGAATAATATATTACTGCAATTTCACAAATGAACCTTTTTGTATAAAATATACTGTGATTTTAATTATTAAAAATAAGATTAATTATTTAAAAAATTTTTAATTTTCAATTTTCAATCGTATAATTATAATAATACTATTCAAAATAACAATTTTCTTTTAGTAGGTATATTTAACCATTGAACAGCGGACCACGGAGAGAGCCCCAAGTTTAATGTAATTTTGTATTTTATATAATTTCCCTTTTCCAAATTGAACACTATTCCATTAAACATTGTTCTTCCAATTATGAAACTGTTTCATTTAAAAATTATGCATTTAACTTCATATTTTATAAGTTTAAAAGACGATTCACCCAGACTCCGCCGTTGAAGGGTTAATTTCTCGTACATTTTTAATTACCGATGACCCATCTGGCAGGTAGTAATGTTTCGTAAACCAGTGATATCGATCGCACTTCAGTGCTCCTTTTTCATAGTCGACTTAACGAAAATTGCCGAGTAATTGAACGTTGAAAAAAGATCTGGGAATATAATCGTCGACGTATTATCTCGCCTTCGTGAAGCTTACCGAAAGCACGAATTGCCGCGACATAAGGAGAGGTCTAAAGGGGTCGTTTCATTTTCAATGTAATTCCCGGTCCCTCGGCATTATCCTGCTCTATCTTCATTTCGAGCTCATTAAATTGTGAGTTCGGATTACGCGTCGCTGGTATTTAAGGTGGCTTTAGCCTCTCGTTTCTTAGCGACAGCACCGTTTCAAAGTATGATGAGAACGATAAAAGAAGGACGAGACTCTATCCCGCCCGACTCTCGAGGATTTTCGCAATTGCAACTTTGATAACAGGATAAAACGTACCTCAAACACTAACTTCCGAGCTTTGACGAGCTTTATGGTGCTGTTCGAGAGAGGAGAAAAGAAACGTTTCGTGAAATACTTTTATGTTCGTTATACCAAAGGAAAGAGAATCTTTCGTATTGAAGATGAAATAATTTAACGAAGAATAAGAAAACGCTTATTGTGATACGCTTTATATAATAAAATATAATAGAATGATAGGACAAAAGTAACAGGTGGGGGTAATTAATTGTAAGTATTAGGCAATTAATTGTATAATATAATAGATGGTGCAATTCTTGCAAAGATTCATGCTGGCATTCATAAGAAATAGTGCAACGTTAAGAAAATACGTGGTGCACGATTGTTGGAAGTTCCGAGTAATTTTCTTTTCCTCCTGTAATCACTTCCGCTATCGTGCCTTCAACAATAGACAAACGCGAAAAGGAGAAAAGCTGAGGGAAAACAGGCGGCAGGCCAACAAAGAAGACGAATACACAAAGTGGAATGGTAGGTGGATATAAAAAGGAGATACGATAAACTTGCAGCAGGTGAATAGAGAGGAAAAGAATGAGATAAGCAGACACACGTGGTTGGATTCTGGTGTAAGAATTAAAGAACATGAATAGTGATACGATTCGTGACAAAGAAAACTGTTTCAAAGAAGATATATACCACGTATTGTAGACATTTTACATTGCAAATATTAAAATATTTTACGAAGTACTAAATAAACAAATTGCAAGATAAAAAATAAATAAAAATCTGTTCTTATTGAAGCTTTGTATCTAATATTGTCATTTAACAATTATTAATTTGACCGACTTTGAAAAAGGAGGAAGTTACTCAATTCGATTAGTATATATATATATATATTTTTATTTATTTTAATACATTATATATAATCTATAATTTTCTTTTTAAAAGAACTCATTTTTAGAATCCATAAGCTTATTTGAAACAGGGTGTTATAAAAATCCACGAAATCTTTCACAGTAATCGAATATTATGAAGTAGAAATCCAGCTGGAAAAGTGCATTGAACGATGTAATACATGATATAAACCCTTCGAGATGAAAGTTATTCCTGTTGCATCGATGCGCCGAAAAATATGAAAGACTTGAAAAAGTCAATTTCCCATTTGGTACCGAAGAGCGCATCTTAGCTTCTCGTCGCTTAGAAATATTTTATATAAAAGTATCTTTAGAAGTATCTTAGCTGCAGAAAATTGTATTTTGAGAAAAAGCATCTCACGGGGATTGGCCAAGATAAGGGAACGTGTTAATACACAGATGAAAACTTCCCATGTGTTTGTATCGAGCAACGAATTCTAGCGTAAGCATTTCTTGAAGAAAATCGACAAAAATAGAGTTTTCCTACTTTGATTACTTGGTCGTGTATTTGGCCACTCGTAGCAGTTCAGAAACGAGAAGGAAAATTTTAATTATTCAGAGCGTAGCTTCTATCTTTTGCCAATACCTTGACGTCAAAAGAGATAATTAACTTCTCCTTCCTTTCATTAAATACACTGTACTGTTTATAATTAGGCAATTTAGAAGAGGGAAGTGCGTCTTTGAAAATATTATTCAGCAAGTATAGTCAACCTCAAATAACTTACAAAGGTAAATCAAGGAATACAAATTGAAAATTTGAGATATTAATAAAAATTTGGAGAAATATTGCACTTAATATTGAATAGAATATTGAAAAATATAAATTATGTAATACAGAGTAATGAAAATTTAGTAAATAAAATAAGAGTATAATATCGGCCTTTCTAATAAATTATAACAAATAAAAATCAAGCGTGTCATTGAAAAATCAATATTAAACTCGCTCTTACATAATCATAAAAAGGTGCACCAGGACCAAAAAGCAGCTGATTAAATCAGGTGGCGGTAAATGAGAAAAGTTTAAGAAAGTTCGCCGAATGTGGCGATAAAAGTTCCGAAATTTAAATGAACACAAAGCATTCCACTTATTTTCTTCTCTCTTTTTTTTAAATGTAATTCTGTCCGAGTCAGTGATGGGTGTCCATCAGAATATCAGCTGACGTTTTCAATTACACTAACCACTCCATTATCGAATTGCGGAAAATTTTTATCGTAGAATTCAACGACAATTCAGAGGAGGAACCGCGAAAAACTGTCAATGACCAAAGAGAAACCAGGCCAATGGGATAATAAAGTTCTCCCTAACTTTGTTCGCTTCCTTTGGCTTCTCTTTCTTCTTGAAAGTGGGTCGACCACATGATTCGGTGGAAAACTAAGGGATAGAGATACACTTTCGATAGAACTGAATTGTATTCTCTAATGACTTTGGATCTTTTTTTTTTTAATTTGTCGATTGCACTAGCTTTAACACTTTAACTTTTAAATAGTGAAGCTGTGATTTTGTTGATTCAAGGTATCTATTTTTAAAAGAATTTAAAATAATAATTAAGAAATTTCTAATATTTATAATTGTGAACTATTCCAAATTTTAAATAATAATTATAAAATTATTAATTTTATACTATTCCTTCAGATATATTCTCGATATGAGAAAATCTTTTACTTTGAAATTCGCGAATTCCCAAATTGTAATTAATAAAATAAAATACAGCAAAATAAGTTATATATAAAAATTACGAACACATGAGAAAAGATAGAAACGAAGAAAATCGATTGAAATTTATTCTATTCCAGCAACAACCACAATATCCATCTACTTCTCTGGTTTCTTGTAATTCATCACTCGAAACCTCTTCAACTCGCTCAGAAGTTTCGTGATTACCACCTTTGTAAAACATGCTCGGGAACTTTGAACGATGAGATCTTGAGGAAGAAAAAAGCTACCGATTTTCCGACTCGTGTGCTCTTTTTACAGGCACTCCGGCTCGAAGCAAAGATCGCGAAGATGAGCAAAGTTCCGTCAGGGTGTTGCTATTTTGGTGCAATCTACCGTAGAGAAACCGATTAACTGGTGGCTGTAATATCTGTTGATATTGAAGCCGACAGCTTTTTCTCAAACGACAATTTAAAGGTTAAAAAACAAGGTTAAAAATGGTTCCGTAGCCTAGTTTTTCCAACAAAAAATAGAAATAGAAAGAAATTGTGAAAATGTAATAATGCAATAATGCAAAAATGGAATACGACTTGGAAAAATTATGGACAATGGTGCGAGACCTGTTGGCCTACTTTTTCCATCCAATTCTGGATTACCACCTGTTCAGTTTCCTTAAAATTATCCAATGCTTCCAGAAGCTTTCAAGCAGCCACGCGAAGATGGTGATAATAATTTTAATATTTTAATCTCTTCGATGTGATATTAATTTTCTCGACATTTCCAGAATCAAATGTATCTCGACGTCGACGAGGCGGAAGGAGGACAATTCTTTTCATGCTTAAGTGAATTAAAAAGCGTGTGAAATGGTGTAATAACTAAACTTTGGATATTCGTGTAATTGTATAGCTAGGAGAAAGGATGACCTTAGTGTTATAAGTCAGTTTTGAAAAGTACGAAGATAAATAATTTTTGAAGTTGTAAAATTATCTACAGTGTAATTATAGTAATTATAGTATACTTAAAAGTAAATTAACCCATCTGCACCAGCTGCACACGCTTAAGTACACTCTATTTTATAGATTATGTTGTTATCCATCGGCATTAATTAAAAATAAACGAAAACAATCGAGTGCAATAAACATAAGCTAATCTTATTGCTAGTATCAAAGTATGAGTTTTAGTTAACTTTACTCTATGCCCATTGAATCTAAATAACAAAAGAAAATTCTACTACAAATACTAACCCTTCGTTGCATTTTATTACAAATTTTTTACTTAAAATGACATACTATAAAATCCTTGTACTTTTTAAACATTTACAATTAGAAATTTCTAGAAGATATTTCTTCTTTTAAAAATTAAAGAGAAAATTATGCAAGGAAGGGTATTAAATTTAAAGCATCAGTCAGCGGAATACATCTATCAGGGGGGCCAACGTATCAGGTCGTTTATTTTATCATTGTTGTAAGAGCATGGTAGTAAAGTTGAGAAAATACATGTATACTTTACCTGATGGCTATATCGTTGTTGCCTCGCGTTATTCCAACGTCCTCGCTGAAAATGAAGATACGCGTGGTACCGCGATACCATTTGATGCTGTGAAGCCCTTCGCATTGCGGCGATTTCAGAATGCACGGTAGTTGCACCTCTGTTCCGAGTTCGGCGTGCTTTTCGCTCTTTAGCCACGGTTCGGTGCTCCCTGAAACAACGTACGCAAACGCTGTGAATTGTGCTACGTTTCCTCCTTTGTTTGTTTCACCGACTCGTTTACAAACAAACAGAAAAAGGACGAAGGGATAAAGTTTCAATGAAATGATTCCCGTCACGCGGACGTGATCATTCCGAGCAATTCGCTTATGATCTTTCGAGCGAGATATTTTATCATATCTATGCGATACAATATAAACTTTTACCTTCCAATTACATAGAGTTCGAATAAAACTCGATTGTAAGATAATTGTTACAGCTCGCTTGTTTTATACGCTTGCGTGTAAAACGGTAATTGAGTTTCGAAACGATTACAAAGAGAATACAGTATGGGATTATACGATAATGTATCTGGAATAATCATTTATTTAATCCTAACAGTAAATTTATTAATTATCAATTATTTGCACTGAAAGGTGCAAATTAGTGAAATTTTTCATTGGAAAGAGCTAAACTAACCTCATCCTTCAGTAATCTGATTCTTTTCTTAATATTCCAACCCCAAATTACTGACCTTTTAAAATATATTCTTCTCGACGAGAACAATTAATAAATGTAAATTTGAACTTTAAGAATCCATTCATTGAAAAGTTACGCATGTATTGTATGTATAATACAATAAAACAGAACCTTTTTAGGATACATTTGAGGTTAATTTGACACCACATCGGTTTTGATCGATAACTGGTGGTAAGATAATATATTTACCGTTTGAAGAGACTCCGTTTAGTTGTGTGTTGCCACGAAGAAGGCCCAAGAACGAATGAATGTATATACGGTCTGTCGCTACGCACCGATAATTCGGTGTTTATGCAAAGGGATTATCTATTCTTCGAGCGCGGTACGAGTTCAGCCGGTTTCTCGTCGATAACCTAGCAGACTCGGATCGGCTTTGTCTTTTCGTAAACATACTGACTTTCATAGACTCAACAGACTTTCTATAGTATTCTATACACTATGGGCTTCGCCGTTGAGACTTGGCTCGCTTCAGTTTTTATATTTTCAATAGAAGAAACAAATGATGAAAACACCCTCGCAATCTCACAGTTCCAGCGGCGTGGTGTTTAACTATTGTGCGCATGCGCACATAGGAAGCTGCGCGCTAGGCTGCGCGCGAGGCTGCGCGGGAGAGAGAGTACTGTCGTTCACGCAGTGTCGGCTTTTTAAAACAAAGGCTAAAAATTTTCTGGAGCAGCGCCCCCACTAATTTTAGCTACGAGCCGCCACTGTTCGCAATTATTTAACACGTTGAATGGCCATGTCACCCATATGTGGGTGACATTTGAATTGTCAAAGGAAGCCACTATCTATACTATTAGAAATCTGGTTATTTATCTAATTAGAAATATTTGTATTAGGTATTTGAAATAACGGATAACGGAAATAACAAAATATCCGGAAAACAATAAATAAAATTTAGTTAAAAATTATCTAATGAAATTTTCAATAGCCTTTTCCTGGCAGTCAACGTGTTAAACTTCAATAAACTTGCCATAGTAAATTAAAGTTTTTAAAAAAGTCATCAAACGTTATTGCATATTATGGTATTTATGTAACACAAATGTGTAAATGTTTATAAGCCATCAGAGTAGGATTTTCGTCCTGCTGATGAGCCAGTATGTGTTACACGAAATGTCAGACTACGAGCGTTTCAATATTTCTCTGTTATCGTTGCTAAAGCTATAAATATAGCAACTCGGGAGAGCAGATATGAAATGAAAAATCACAACGAGGAACCGTAACGTAGCACAGAATACGAGTGGTTATTTTTTTTTGTGTTATTTCAAAAACATGGCCCAATTGTGTACATTAAAGGATGTATCATTCCATGCTTCGATTAAATTTTACATCTAAACAAAATTTTATGTAATATTTCAAATTTGACATGTAACAGCCTAACATATTTAAAATATTGCAAAAGATATATCAATTTTCTTTTCAACTGAACAATTATTTATGGCTGTGAAAAATTTTATTGGATACATATTTACCATCTTTTTTTTGCAAGAAAATTATTGTCTCATTTTAATTATTAAGTTAAGAAACACCCTCTGAGAAGCAAGACTAGTATGATACCGTGTTGCAAAGGAGATAGTAAATTTCGCAGTCACAACTTATGATAAACAAGAACATAATTCTTGGTTAATTCGCACGAAAACTCTGTACCGTCAAGAGAGAGGGAATGGCAAACTTGCGAAACTGGAAGCTTCTTCGAAATTGACGATTTAAGATGATTTATTAGCGGTTTCTCTGACTCGCGCATAATTTCGTACGCCTCTTCGTGAACATCCGCTAATTTTGCGTAACGAGATCATTAGCAAACCGTCCAACATTTAATTAATAATTGCAATAAATAACAAACATAAGCTGTTATCGTCAAGAAGATTCTCGTTTCAAAATTGAAAAATGAGTGTATACCTTACACGTGTGTTATACATATTATTTATCATATAATTTGAAAAATGCCAGAAAATGGCACTTATAAATTCTTTATCAATATTTTTAATACCATGACTATGCTTATTATTGCACTTGAAATGCAATAATATAATTTATTCAATAAACTTTTATTCAATTCCTAATCGTCTGGAAAATACCTGTACAATCAGCAACAAACTACTAGCCTCAATCAATTTAACTATCACATTACGTGCCATTCTATTTCCTCCCTAACTTGTTTGCCACCCTTAATTCGAACATCCCTTTTCACTCCATCAGTGGGAATCGAACCATCTTATTATGTTCGTGTATCAAGAGAAAGTAGCAGGTTACTTGCAGCGATGAGAGGGTTAAATGCGAGAAAGACACGGAAACGTTAAAAGGGGTAGCCGTTACATAATACTATGGGAAGGAAAATCTGTTCGAGTTTCGTGGGTCACAGATGGCAAGTGGCAGAAGCAAGCTCTGCTTATCTTCGATCCCGAAACCATATCACATCGCAAATATTACGTTCAAGCGGTGAATAATGGAGTATGTCGAGAGCTCTCATATTACGGCTTCCTTCTCCAGTAACACGGCTGGATAGTTATTTAATGGTTCTTAACCCATAGGAAATCGCAGCGACTCCCATATTTTCAAAAACCTACAATTCAACATTTTTTTCTTCTTTAATTCTAGCGCCAGATTAAGAGGGCTTCCTTTTACTATGTTAATAAATATTCAATAAAATTTTACGATTGGATGTTATTCGATTTTATTCAAAATAAATTTCGATTTTTCAAGCAAATTAATCAGGTAAAGGGTCTAATAGCCTCGGACCCAAGAAATCTTAATCCGATCCTGCTTAATTCTTAAAGCGAAGTTTCTCAAGTTTTTGCGCATATTTGACCCATAAACTTCAACCCTCGCCCTTTGACTCTTCAACTTTTATCTTAGAAATTTTTAAAGAAGTTTCAAATCTTAAAATGGCAAACTTAAAATTACAGGATTTTCTTCATCGTTTATTTATCTTATCAGAAGTCGATCGCAAAATGTTACAAAATTTCTGATAGCTTTAATGGAAAGAATCTCGGGTATCGGTGTTTCTTGAAAGTAAGTTTAATTTAAGCCGAAACTGTCTCTCGGTGCAGCTTGAAATTAGTTTGAAATTGGAAGATCTGTTTAATCACCCTCGAAAACGTGTACGCGATGCTTGTATGGAACGAATAAGAGGGTATATTTAATGATAACAACTTCAAAGTGGTTTATTGTGGGAAAAACCGGGAAAAATGCACCAGCGAACTATTTACAGTGAAAATAAGAGAGTTTCAGTAATTATAATTTCTTTGTCCTTCCGTTTCTCGAACAATTTGCACATGCAAATATTAAATATCTTCCGGTTTTCCTATTCCTTTGTAATCCCTTTACTTCACGGCAGTAATATTGTTTTACGAAAAGAATGTAAGTATCGTTTCTTCTTTATGCTGAATTAATATTCATAAAATTGTTCTTTTAATTTTATTCTCTTTCACTACGATTTATTCGCAGGTAAATGTTGTTTATGAATAAAACGTTAAACGTAGAGTTTTTATTTTGCAAAGTATTATTAAATGAAGAACAATTTAATTAATATGTTCAATTAACTAAATATATAAAGTTTAAAATGAAAAGTCAATATTTGTCTTTTCGCAAAAATATTTGCAAACATCAACAAATTTACCATATTTGCCATATCTGCGTTAAACCTTTTTATTTCCCTGTTACAAAATTTTTAATATTTAATTTTTCTTTTATCTTTGTACTTAAGCGAGCACTCCTCAAGGGCGTCGAAGCGAAGGGGTTAAAATCTGAAGTTAGAAAAGTCAGTCAATCCATCGTGTTCCTTTAAGAGCCGTTTTCATGATTAACCGTGATCATTTCAAGCTGCAGTGTACATGTCTGAATTTATTAACGAAGCGTTCGCGTTTATCACGATCCACACCGGCTGGATTCATTTCTGCCCGTAGGAATTACGTATTCAGGTGTCTGAGCCCATCAAAAGGTCGGGAATCGCGCGTGCTCCAAGCTTGCTGTATGCCGTCGTTTACGTACAGCCGGCGGGGAACCAATTTTCGAGTAAAACTTTTTACATCAACATGCAAATTGGCCGCAGAAATGTGCGCGTTCCTGCTAAAGACACGGAACACTTGCCGTGGCCGAGATAATAGGAAATTAAGCAATCCGTCATAGGTGGATCCATTGTTAGAACTTTCCTCGGTATATTTGCATCCACCTCGAAACAAACGGTTTTAACACAATTGCACGTGAATTGTGAATGGAAAATAGAAATGGTCTGGGAAAATTCAATTGAAAATTCCATCTCGTTGATGGATATCGAGCTCAGACAGCTCGTTAACTCTGCTCCATTTACATCGTGTAACTTATTACCAGTGAAATAACAGATTTTGATGGGTGTCGATGGGCACTCATTGATTGCTTTCTGTCAACGGTTAGGCGGGTAACAATGATTAATTAATAGCTTTATGGAAACTGATGGAAATCAATTCAGTTGTTCTAATATAACGCGAGCTTCGA